GTCTTTATTTTTAGTTAGCACATACCTTAAACACTTAAAGCTGTAAGCTAATGATAGTTCTATAATCGCAAAAATAATAATTGTTTGTGGCAGCCCTAATTGATGGCTTAGCGAGCTGTGTCGTGTTTTCTGTGTCATGAAAGTGGCTCTCTTTTTACCTGGTTAAATCACCGTGGTTACCGATGTTAAGCATATAACATGGTCAGGAGCAGGTTATGTTCTGAGTTTCTGTTAAAAAATGTCTGGAAGTGCCATGTTTTCACTGATTCTCTCATTTACAGCATGTTTTAAATCCAATACTCTGAAAATGTGTGTTACATGTCCAAATTGTTAAGCTGTACCTACTAAAACCAGTGACTGTAACACAAACAGTGCATTTCACAGGAATGCATGTATTTATTTGGTGAAGCAGAAAAAGTATAAATGTTGTTGTACTTGATTCTAATCTGCTGCCAAGTCTCTTTTACACCACTGGAATTGGAACATAGAACACACACCAGATATATAAAAGTAATATCACTTTGATTTGTGACAAACTAAATTCCCACGTCTCCATTGTTACGCTGTGGCACAGTAAGCTAACGTTTAAATGGCTCCAGTTTAAAGTTTCAGAGCTCCGATATGCAGCCGTCACCTTAAAAATAATGTGCACTGAGAGCGCACTCAGTGATAAAATAATTCCTTGGTTTATTTTAATGCTATGTGTGATAAATTCAAAGATTAACAATTTTCTGCACCATTAAGTTTTTGTCTTATTTGTAGTGTTTTTATGGTCTTTATAGATTTTTAATCACCATTTTCTCTTCCGTTTTCCCTGGAGTAGGCAGCATTCAGAGCGATCATTTTTTGTGTGTGGAAGAAGTCACGTGACCTGTGAAATGCACCTTATTTTTTTTATTATTATTATTTTTTCTTCTTCTTCTTTCACATGAGCAGCATGCAGAGTCTGAAGCGGAAAGCTTCTCTTAACAGAGAAAGTTAATAAGTTGTGGTAACAATTACTCAATCTTGGGGTTTAGGTTTTGTCGAGTCTGCTAACACAATGAAAGAAGCCCGGTTATGTTGAACTTCCTTTGTAGGGTTTTTTTTGTTTTTTGTTTTGCTTGAATGTTAAGTGGCTTATTAGACAAACCCAACAAGGTGAGATACACGGACTGTATGGAAAATGAAGGAAAAAGCTCGACAGTTTAGCTGACCATCGGCCTTTCGCTGCATGGCTTCTCCAGCTCTCTCTCCCCACCTTCCTCTCCATCTTCATTTCACAGAGACTTAAACACATAAGAAAATATTTAACCTGCAATTCTAAATAGGTAAAAATCAGAAGTTAAATCAAGATAAAATTTATAATAGATTGCATTTTGAACAGATCTAAGTGCTTGCTAAAGTTATACCAAATAGACATTAAGCCTTGGTTGCTAATTAACCAAATATACATATATGTGTATGTGTATAGGAGGCAACGTAAAATTTTCAAATCAAAGCAATGGTTGCATTTACTGAAAAACTCTGTTAAGTTAAAATCTCAGTGACCTTGACTTCAAGGTCAGAGGTCAACCTTTCTGAAAATCAGAGAATTTTCACATTTATAACACAGGTATGTCTACTCGGAGGCTGAAGGGTAGCACAGTATTTATAAAGAATATCAAACAACAATTAGTTGATGCTTAAAGCCTGTTTATTTAATTAATATCCAGTTTATTTCCAAATTCTATTGAATTTATTTGTGTTAACATGGTGTTTTAGGTCTGATTGAAGGACTGATGTAATGGTAAGGTGTCTGTTGCTCCGCGTTGAATATTGGTAAGAACTTGACACAAAAATAAATTTAGTGTAGCATTAGTAAATCTTTAATTCCAGAGATCATGAAAATCGATTAAATGGATCAAACATAGAACTTTTAAATAATTCCAATCTCATCAGAATGTAGGCGTCAGAATGTATTTGAATATAATGTTTCCTGTTTTATATCCATGTGTGCATCAGTTGATGGATTGGGGTGGCTGTAGCTCAGGTGGCAGAGCAGGTCAGCCACTAATCAGAAGGTCGGTGGTTCGATCCCAGGCTGCCTCCTGGCTGCATGCCAAATATCCTTGGGCAAGATACTAACCCCATGTTTGCCTACTGGTGGTGGTCAGAGGGCCCGGTGGTGCTAGTGTCCGGCAGCCTCGCCTCTGTCAGTGCGCCTGTGGCTACAATGTAGCTTGCCATCACCAGTGTGTGAATGTGTGTGTGAATGGGTGAATGACTGAATGTAGTGTGAAGTGCTTTGGGGTCCTTAGGGACTAGAAAAGCGCTATACAAATGCAGGCCAAATGCAGGCCATTGACTGCAATGTCAGTCATCTATTCTTTGGGACACATTTCCATATACCATTCCAATGATTTATCCCAATGTCACATCTCATAATCAGTTTGTCAGCCTCCAATTAAGTCTCTGTGACAAGAAGCACAGAGTGCAGACAGGGGCACCAATCATGCTCTGTGGTTAGCATCACTTGAAATGTGCAATAAAATCTATAGATTTATAATTTGGTGATATCTGCCATGTATTGACTTTTATCTTGAAAAATTACTGTATTGTTGCTGCAAGCTGGGACTGATTGGTCGCAATTATTTTGGTCAGCATTGAGATCAAGATTATTTAACATAATTACTCGCAGACTTTAGAAAAAACATGATGTATTAAACAGTTTTGTTGAAAAAAAGCACAAACTTGCTTTATTTATTATGCAGATTTATTTGAACACAACATTTGTTTGCCACAGCTTGGCTATAAAGTGCACAGCAGGGCTGGCGAGGAAAATTTGATATTGCAATATTTTTTGGTTGTATCACGATACATGATATACATCATGGTAAGTTTAACTAACCTTCAAACCATTTTCAACCATATAGTACCTAAAATTGTACTTGTGTACTTATTCAAAGCGACCATTCAGTGTTGACTTGAATACAAAAAATTAAAAATTAATGGAAATGTTTTATTTTAACCATTTTTTAAACCATCAGTTGCACACACTGTTTTCACAAATGACAAAACTATGACCGTAAGTCTCTTTCTGTGGTCAACATTAGACCTTTAACAAACAAAAGATCATAGCAACAAAAAAGGAGCTCAAGCACTAATTCATGAGACAACAAAAACATAACTAAAACTAAATAGGTGCTTTTTTTTAATTTTTTTATTGCTTTTAACATAAAATTGTACAAGACTTCCTCAAATTATAGAAACAAAAGTCTAGAAGGTGACTATGGAAAAACGGATGACCAAGAACAGTCACAGGTATCACAGCTGGTTTATTTAACTTTTTCTTTGGTCTGTGGGGAGATGTTCACATGCAGAGTTTAAAACGGTCTTAATTTTGCAGTGGAATAAATTCGTGGTACTGCTACGACAATAGTTGGCATGTTTTGCAAATTACAGAATTTTGTTCCTTCCTGTGAAATCCGAACAGCAGCGAAGTGTCTTTTCTCTCGCTCATCTGAAACTCGCACTGTCACCATATTTTTTTCTCCATCTGGTGAAATATAAACACCTATGCTCAGCTCAGTGTGCCGGGTAGGAAATTGTGCGCATTGGCAGCGTGTGGGATTAAAAAAACTTGAGTGAATTGCATGCAGACAGCACAGTTATTTTCATGGCAACTTATACTCGATGGTTATGATAAAGCCACTTTAACCATCGTATGTGGAAAACCTCGCGATACATCGAGTATATTCGATATATCGCCCACCCCTAGTGCACAGTCCTGTTTCAGACAGTAGCCATGTTCCCCATTTTCCTCCATATCTTACATTTGTTTAGCTCCTTAATAAGTCCTAAATTAGCTAGCTGGAGTAATGCATCCACACAGTAGACTACTACTGCTGCTGCTTAAGAAGCTAACTCTTGGTCCAGTTTAACTACTCAAGCTTGTTCCAGGTTTTCTGTTTACTTTAGTGAAATTGAGTCGAACTGTCCTGTGAGTTTTTTCTCTCTGCCTGTCTGACATTGAGCTGAAGGCCAGAAGAAAGATGTTTTTCTTTTTTTTCCTTTTGTTTGCTGAATGCGTCTTTTCTACCTCAGCTGTCAAAAGCTGTAGCTTCTGCAGGGCTGCCGCAGGGCCTCGTGCTATCTGTGCCCGGGCACCTGGTGCTAGAGGATGGAGCACTATAGGCCAAAACAGCTGTGAGCAGTGTTTTCAAGAATCCAGTGACAGCTGCCGGTTTTCAGGAAGAACGCTTCATCTTTTTCTCTCTCTCTTCATGTAATTTTTTTTCTCTTTATCAGACTGGTGTGTCTGGAACATCTTTCAACACTCTGATCCTTTGTGGATATTTCCTTTCTTTTGTAGAATTAACGGGGCTTCAGTATCTTTGCCGTGAGATCAGAAAGGGTGCAGTAAAGACACGACCCTGCTGCCAGAGTCAGTTGGGAGGAAATTGAAACAACCAGTCACCAATCATTAAGTTTCCATTGTAAAACATTTACCAAATCCCTCACACATGTAATTAGCTTTGTTTAGGCTTGAACTAACGTGGACCTGTGACTGATCCTCGCTTTTTATTGAGGAGGTTGTTCAGACCTGTTTAAAAGCAGAATAGAAAAGGAGGTGCAGTTACGTGGGAAGTGCAGTCTCATTATGATTTATTATTAAGGGAGATCTGCACGGGTGTTTGTGTTTTGCTGTAAAACGTGTAATGATGTCGAGTTTGAATGTTTATTCTTGCCCTTGGAGATGTTGGTTGACAAAACAATGTCACCACCTGTCATTTAGCTGTTTTTTTTCTTCTTCTCAAATTTAGTCATATCTCACCATCTCCCCCTGCAATAACAGTTACTTAGTTGCACAGGAAATGTTTAAATTGTCATTGACGAGAAGGTTTAAACACAACTCTGAAGTGCTGATCTGTTAATGTTTTAATGCTTTACTGTTTGGTTGAACCAACATGACATCATCTCTCTTTTTTGCTTTGTTTTCTCTCCGTCCTGTGGCCCTCCCCTTCCCTGCTGCTCTTTAGGTGCATGTTTCGTTTTCCCAGCACGGCGATCAAGATCCAGTTCATGTCACTCCTGGAGGTTGAGGAGCACCGGGAGAGGGAGCAGCAGTCTCCCGCTCGCTCGCTTCTGCCCCAAATTTCTCCTCTTAAAATCAGCATTCCCACGGCGCAGCAGCACGAAGAGCACATGAGGGCGTTTGGCTCTCCGCTGCCCTCACCCACAGGCACCATCAGGTAAGCCACCAGACACACAATCACGTGGACGCTGATCAATTCAAGCAGCGTTCATAAATGCAAAGTAGGCCGTCCGGATTTGCAGTTAAAGCAGGAGGATGTTTTTCTTTGGAAGGAATTCTTGCCAAACTAGTTCAATGCGCCTTTTCATTCAATCCCCAATAATTAAGAAAACATTTATTTTCCAATAAGTATTGATTAGTATTAGAGGTACTTTTAGCTGCTCCCTTATTTCCCAAACGGTCACTATAGCACACGCTTTGATTTGGCTCGTGTTTTATGGTGGATTCTCTAAAATTAGCTGAACACCTCTGAGATGCAGAGTTTGTGTCTCCTCCTGGTGTCGGTGTGTAACGTGAATGTGTTAACAACCATGTTTCTTATAGTTAAATCAAACTAAAAGCGAGATGTGGGGATAAAATAGTTAACTAAAACAAAAAGAAAAAATCGACTTGGAAGCGGAAACAATTTTATGAACTTGGAAATCTAACGAAACTTCAGTGAAAGAGAAATATACAGGATGTGTCCTCAGTTTCACTTTTTTGTTAGTTTGGTCAAATTTGATCAAAACATACCTTTAGAGTTTGGATATCTCAATAAGACTGATTTACTTGCATTAACCGGATAATAAAACTTGTATTATCTGGTTAATTATTAAAGCTTGTACTGTAGTGGAAGAGGTCGCGTAAGTACGCAGACAGTACTTGTATAAAAAGAAACAGGAGACAGTAACCAAAAAGAATAAAAAAGAAATGAGTAAATTAAATACAAACCCTTTTTAAAAAATCTTTTTTTCGGTGTCTTATTTATGTAAATGGGTATCAGTGAGAGAGGAGGATCTGTTGGAGGAGTTTTAAAACAAAGCTGGGTGTACAATGAAAGTTCTCAGATGAGCTGTTAGTTTCTTTTTTGTGAAACAAAAGTGTAGTGTCTTGTGCGCTGCTGACATGCACTCTAGCTGAAGATGTGCTTGTATCTGCACTCAGAGAGAGAAAGCTTGAGTTTCATAGGCTGTGAAGGCACATGTTTAAAAGAAATCTGTGCTCTGTAAATATACACGTCATGTGTGAGTGTTCGACGGAGCTGTGCGTGCCCTCTGGTGGTCTCTCTCTGCCTTTGCATCATGCATCCCCACCAATGTCAGCGCGCGTGCTTGCCTTATATGGGATGGCTGCCGCTTCGAGGCCTGCGATTGGCTATCGAGGGCAGATTGTTTTGCTTGTGGGCCGTTTTCCCGTCCATTAGTGGTTTCCTTTTCCGAGCCCCCTGCCCCTCCAACTCAACCCTCAGCTCCTGTTCTCTCGCACGTGGAAACACTACAGACACACTACAGACACTAAAGACGCTCGCTCAAACATTTCTGCGCCGCTCTCACCGTGGCCTTTTTCGGGCACATAGTCGGGCCAGCCTTCCTGGTACATACACACCGCTGTGTATGGCGGAAGAGTATTGTGTCAAAGCACGTGGTCCCTCTTACAGGGTGCTAAGAGTGACTTTTCCTGCTTGGCAACTTAAATGCACAGCGTAAAATTGCACTCTCCTTTCTCTGCCAGCATGCACTCTTGTAATGCAGGGCCTCGTGCACGTGGCCCGCGGGGGGATGGTTGTTTTAAGAGTGTCCGGGGGAAAGCAAAGATGACCCTTGCTCCCCCGTGGAGGCACAAATAACAAAGTCCTAGCAGACTGACGGATACAGATTTCAGTATTTTTTGTACTTCCGAAAAGTACAAAAATATGTTTGTGTTAGTCCGTATTCATTTTTCAGCTCTGAGTTTATGAAAACAGAGCTTGCAGCCTAGTTCCTCCAGCCACAAACTAAAAACACACTCCCCCCCCCCCCCCCCCCCCCGCCCCCCCGTCTGTATCCGTGGCTCTTTGTTGCTAGAGGCAAATCAAAGCTTACTGACTCTCCCAGAAACCATTGTTTACTTTACTAACAGAAGCAGGTGTGTACTGTATGAGAAGTTGCTGGGATTTCCTTGTGCTCTCTGTCTCTCTTTCACAACAGCAGCAGATAAAGCCGAGTTAATAATTAATGTATTTATGGTCATTGTTGTGTGTTTCTGTTTTTTTTTTCCTTTTTCAGATCTAGTTCTTGTGTGTAAGGCAAAGCCTTTTATGACTCAACCAGTATAAGATCTGAAGGCTGATACTGATACCAATATTTGGTGATTTAAGAAATCTGATATATCGGCCAATATTTTTTCTTTCTTTCTGACACATGACATTTAATCTTATTTTCTCAACATTTGTCATGTGTAATTATTTCTGAGTCTTTACTAACACATATATTTACATGACTTGAAAAATAAACTTGTTTCATTGTCACAACAAAGAGTAGATTATTTGTTTGCGCCCGAATGAGCTGGTTGTTTGCAGCTTTTCCAAACACGTTGCCCTCTGGTTTAAAAACTGGACCACATCAGCATGCTCGAAGGGTATTTCTTCCATCTCCTCTTTACTTTTTCATTTCTGTTTATTAGCCATTATAAATGTCAGTATGGATATATAGGAAAATAACTATTACTGGACTTTAATTTAATTAATAATATATTAATAATTAATTTTGTAAACACTACATTTGTAAATCATTTGAGGCGAGGGTTGACAATGAAACAGTTGCTTTAAGTTTTACTGGGAACCACATGAAGTGGCCAAGGACATCATTTCATGACAGTTAGTTCACGTCTCTCTTTTGTGTGTTTTGCTTTACTCTGAGGTGTGGATTCTTATTCTTTTGTGTTTTTCCAGTCCTATTCAAATTTCATAGAAATGGTAAATAACGAACAAAATTTAAAAATGCTTATCTTACAAATGTTAAGTGCAAAATATAAATGAAGATTAGAAATGCTTCAACAGGCCTTCACGCTGTACAGTTTAGTTACTCCTCACTATTACATCGTGTAGTCTTCATTTTGCACTCTGACATAATTATGGTTTTAAGGATTTACTAATAAAATCTTGAAATGACTGAACTGTCAGATTTTTGCTGTCTACACACACACACCTGCTGGAAATGACCGGTGTATGAGCTTGACACCAGTGTTGGTCAAGTTACTTGAAAATAGTAATTAGTTACTAATTACTGATTACTTCTCCAAGAAAGTAATCCCATTACTTTACTGATTACTTATTTTCAAAAGTAATTAGTTACTTTATTACGTAGTTACTTGTAATAAAACGACATTGTTTGTTTTTTTTAACAGTTTTTCCTTTATACATATAAACAAAAGGAGAAGAGAAGGATTACAGATGATTTTTACATTTGGGGTCATTAACACTTGAGGCTGTAAAATGTTTAAAAAGAAAAAAGTGGGGGAGGTGAAATAAAGAAAAAAATATATAAGTAAAATATTTCCCCGGATATAATAGTCCCTGCAAAATAATCCCATTCATTCCCACCCAGGTCACTGCCCTAGACCTGTACACTGTATTTCCACACCTGACATGAGGGAGTTGCACACAGACAAAAGTGAATGCACCTGAAAAATTCTTATAGATTTTGAAATGCTTTGAAATTTGAAAAATTAAAAAAAAATTGAAAGAATTTTGGAGTGAATGTCTTATTTTTTCCAGTTTTAGACATGACATGAGGTCGTATAACCACTGTTTGTGAGTGGGAGGGGCCAACAGGGAACAGAATGATAACACCTGTCTTTTAGAGGCCAGTAGAAGCACCTTATTCCCACTGATGCCAAACAGAGCAAGAAAGGGGCCTCATCACACTGATAATCCTGGACATGGAAAACCTCTGTCCAGAACTGAACAAGACTGGGACAAGACCAGTACATGTAGATCATTTGTCACTTTTTTACTTTTAAAAACATGATACACAACCCGAACAGGTAATAAAACTGTAGACCTTTCAGCCCAGTTCAGTTTTTTCTGAATAAACCATCATACAAAATTGAATCAAATGAAAAAGTCTCTTTTAAAAATTTGTTTAATCAGTTTTAATCTTTTAACTTTATGCACATTACATCAAGCAAAAATGTAATTATATGCAAGAAATGTGTTTAAAATTTTTAAACCTATTTTCTGCATATTCCATCATATAAAATAAAATAATATGTTGTGTTTTCACTCATTCTTTTAAATAGATGCAAGTAAAACACAGCAAACATTTAACTAAATCAGAGATTCAGCAGCACTAAGTCCTGTTGCTCTTTAATCAATTTTCACCTGTTTAGCAGGAGTGGGGCAGGTGGAGGTTTGCCCGGTGCCACAGTGGCCATGTCAGTGGGAAGATGTGGGGTTTCTCTGTGTAATTTCACATTCCCGTGGCAGCGTCCTTGGTGCTTGCTTAGATTTGAAGTTTAATTTTTCACGGTAGAAAGAAGTTTTCTTCCCACGCAGAGTTACGCTGCACGGTTGTACTCTGTCCCGCACTCCATATTATCCACTGTTGATCTACACACATCTGTTGCTACCACGGACGTCGCACGCTCGCACGTCATAGTCATGAGACACTCTCACAAACAAAATCACGGTTTGGTAATGCAGCATGCTTACGGGAAAGTAACAGCAATCTAATTACCTTTTTGCAATAGTAATCCCTTTGTAATCCCGTGTTCTTGGAGAAGTTAATGTAATTATCAGGTAAAATCTGGCTTGTCTTGTCTGTGTGCTGAGTTACAGTTGTTAATGTGACTGTAAGGCTGTGAAACAAGTATTGTACTGACTGCAAGATTAAGCCTCTCATCTTATGTGGGTCATTTTTCATGTAGCCATAAACCATAGTGGTAACCCTTTCCTCTATTTCTCTCTCTTTCCCAGTGTTCCCAACTCCTGTCCAGCTAGTCCGCGCGGGGCGGGGTCATCGGGGTATCGCTACGGACGCAACATCACCTCCGACCTCCAGTTAGCAGCCGAATATGCTGCCAAGGCTGTTTCTGAGCAGAGGCGAAGTATTGCTGAGCAGAGAAGTGGGGGGAGTGAGCAGCGAGCGGAGTCAGCTGGTGGTGACAGTCCCCGGGTAAACATCCAGGCCTGATTGCTTCTAAGAAATCGACTGTTAATGTTTAACCTTAGAAAAAAAGCTGAGTGTGTCATTATGAATGCATGTTTATTTAGACTCGTGTCTATCTTTTTTGGGCCAGGATGAGTCCAAGCCACCTTATTCCTATGCACAGCTGATTGTCCAGGCCATCTCCTCGGCCCAAGACAAGCAGCTGACTCTCAGTGGCATCTACGCATACATCACCAAACACTACCCCTACTACCGCACTGCAGACAAGGGCTGGCAGGTACAGTAGTCTTGTCTAGAAATACAACTTTTACCCGAGTAAGCTGGGAAGAAACTTTCTCTTCTTTCAAACTGATGCTTCTGTTTCCAGTGACAAAACGTTTTTCCTTTTTCAAGAACTCAATCAGACACAATCTGTCTCTGAACCGCTACTTCCTGAAAGTGGCCCGCTCTCAGGACGAGCCGGGGAAAGGAAGCTTTTGGCGTCTGGATTCTGCCTCCGAGGCCAAGCTGGTGGAGCAGGCCTTCAGGAAGAGACGGCAAAGAGGGGTGGCCTGCTTTAGGACCCCGTTTGGACCCCTGTCATCAAGGTGGGCTTTGCAGTGGGTCATCCGTGGCCTTCAAGTTGCACACACAGACACGCACAATGATTCAGTTAACCCTCTCTCCCTTCTCTCTGCTTCTGCTCCTTGCGATCATTTGATTGGACAGAACAAAGTAAGTGTGGTTCTGAGGTTTGCCTGAATGAGTAGAGGGTGCTGACAGTGAGGAGCTCTGCATGTCTTACTAAAAGTCTGTTGGTTAGTTATTTGATTTCTCTGCTTTTTCTGTATTTTGTTATTTAGGAGTGCTCCAGCATCCCCGACCCACCAGGGGCTTCTTTCTCCTCCTTCAAGCGGGCTGCAGACTCCCGAGTGTCTGAGCAGGGAGGGCTCGCCTATCCCCCACGACCACCACGAACAGCTGGCTAACAAACTGGCATCTGTACCTGAGTACAGGTATTCTCAGAGCGCCCCAGGTAAGCGTGCAAACAAAATCTCTTTCAAAGATCCGCAGATGACAAGCTTGCTAAAACGCATCAAGTAAATTGTGTCTGCCTCTGCGTAGGCTCCCCAGTCAGTGCTCAGCCTGTCATCATGGCCACTCCCCATCACCCTACAGCGCTGTCCTCGGGCTCGGGGAAAGCCCTTGCTTTGCTTCCAGGTGGCGGTGGCCAAGTCCAGCCCATCCATGTGTTCCAAAGCTCCTCTCAGCCCTCTGTCACCATGGTGCGGGTGGTTACCAGCGTTCCTCCAAATGGGTACAGCGCTGTTGGAGGAGTAGAGGGCAACAGTGATCTCAGAGGTACGGCCGTTTGGGGGGGGTGGGAGAGAATCTATTTTTGAAATGCTTTTTCTGCGTGATGCAATCCTTTGTAATGTGATACACAGGAAAGTGTATTCAAGTCTTTAAAGCTGTTGTGGCCTTGTTCACATCCTTAACGCCCCCTTGTTTTTACCGTCCAGTGCTGGGAATACTGGGCTATTCCTCAGTCACACCTTTACTGTTCAGCTTCACTGCACAAATCAGCAACGCAAGATATTTCTTGTAGCGCGTATAGCTGACAGTAGCCAAATCTCTGAGTTTCGCGACCTTAATTTCCATTTGCTGTAGAATCAGACACGTTTATCACTCTCCCTGAAGAGATGAGGTTTGTTTGGTGTAAATCCATGTGAAAGTGTGTTTTGTTGCTCATTATGTCATGTTTTTAAGATCTGCATTTTCAGGACAGCATCCAACTGGTGCATACTGTGAACTGATATTTAGGAAATTATGCTAAATTCTGACAAATGTTTGATTACTGCAAAATCTGGCTGGATTGTTGACGGGTTCCCATGTTTGAATCGTACGCTTTGTCCTCAGAAGCCCAGCTGACCAGAGAGCGAGTGATCCAGACTGTGGAGAGTGCGGTGCAGGCCGGGGAAGCACGTAATCTGACCCCAGGTTTACATCAACTTCCCGTTCGCCCCATTACCCAGAATGGCAAACACACCACTGCTGCTGTTGTCACAGCAACCAGCCTTGCTAATGCATCTGGTAAGACTCTTTTTTTGGATGGTATTTTTTGTCCTTTAAACACAATAAGGTTTCATTATATTCAAGAAAAAGGCCGACCTCTTTACAGCACACAGCTGGGGGTTTGAGGCTCAGTGCGGGTCATCTACTAATCAGCAGTCAGTAGTTTGATCCCCGGCTTTTCCAGCATACATGTTGAAGTGTCTTAAAGCAAGATATTGAACCGCTCACCACCTTATCTAATATGCATGCACATGTTAGATAAGGCACTTGGGCTAGAAAGTTCTGTGTGACATGACCAGTAAAACGTGTTTTGAGTGCTCAGCTAGAGTAGAAACCAGTTCATTTACCATTTCACAAATGCACAAAACGATCCTTTGCTTATTTTCTTGTTTCGTGTTTTGTCCTGTTCAGGTCTGAGTAGTCCTCTGCAGATTTTGGCTGCTCAGGCCTCTAGCTCCCCTCCGGTGTTGGTGAGCAGACAGCCCAGTGCAGAAACTTTAGCTGGACAACCAGGCGAGCCCCAGGCCAAGCGGCCAAAGATGGAGGACGATGGCGGCCCCGAATCTGCTCAGCATCAAGCCACACCCGGTCAGCAGCCTGTCATTGTTGCCATGGCATCGCAAACCCATGACGCTAGGCAGTAAAACTCAGGGCCTTGCACCAGATACCCAGTGGACAGCCTCTCTATCGCCCCCTTAACGCGTCGCCTTTTATACTTATTTGATACGACTGTAGCCGACAGGCGGTCTCTCAGAAGGGAATTAATTCATAAGAACACACACTTCGGTCAAAAGTAGAGGAAACCTTTGGAATTTGTGCTGAAATTTAAAAAAAGAAGTTTTAGAATTACAATTTTTAAAAATGTAATCCATCATTCACTGACAATACACAGATTTAAGGTTATTAATTATAATAAAATCATTTCAGCACTACTCTTACTACGTGAATGTTGGATATTATCGCAGATACATTACTTATCACTCTCAGGCCAAAGAACTCACCTCTCCTGCGCTTCTCATTAGAGTCGCTGCCTGACGTAAAACCAGGGAACGTGAGATCCGAACGGCCCCGCGACCACAGAAAGGGCCGTCAGCATTAAGAGTCGACGAATCGCGTCGTTTCGTACAGTCGTGGGCAGAAGGCTAGAGAGGACTCAGCTGCATACACCCACACTAGGTTGTTAAGGCCCAGGAGACTTTAAGAATATGATTGTACTCTTCATGAGGCTCTTCTCCAAGGATAAAGCGAGACAGAAGGCATCAAACGAGCGGTCTCAGACGAGAAAAGGCAGACGTTCATTTTAAAGAGCAGAATGTGAGACGTCTCTCTTCTTGCCTTTGCTTTAAAAGAAAAAAACAAACAAACAAAAAGCAAAAAAAGAGAAAGGTATGTTGTTTTTGGAGAACAGATACGAGGAAATTCAGGTTATGACAAACCAGCAGTTTGCAGTTTTTGCTTCACTTCAGTCCAGTGCGGTTTATCGGCGCGAGGCTTCTCTGATTGAGGAAGATCGCAGCATCTGGACGGGAGAGAAGGAGCGAACCGGGCAACTATATGGAGTTGATTGAAGTGGAGCTAACCTAATGTAGACAAACTGATTGTTTTAAATTTTTTTGTTTCAGTAGCGGTAAAAAAAAAAAGCAAACGGAGCAGCCTGGGCGTACTTTTTTTTTGGATCGTCTTAGCACAGAGAAGCATTATTGTAATAATCCTTTAAAAGCCTTAAATATTTCTACATTTTTGTTCTTTTATTTTAACCTTTAGACGGCTTTACTGTTTTAGAGTAACTTAGTGCTTTAACAGCTGACGATCGGCGACACTACAGCGGTGACAGTTGCGCTGCATTGGTAGATTTGTTTCAGGTTTTTTGGGGGGTTTTTGTCAGGGGAAGGGCGGGACCAACACATGACCACAAATTTCAACAGTTCTTTTTTTTTCCACTCTGTTTGGTACTTCTGCCACCTACTGTTCTCGGCTCACACACTGTTGCTTTTTCTTGTTTCCTTAAATTCATTTTACAGTTTTGTTCTTCTTCTTTTGCCCAGTCTACCTCTCCTCACCAAGCACTCTCTCATCTTCGCAGCCTCCAAAGAGGAGTCAAGCTGTCGGCGATTCCTGCCACAATTAGATTTTTCTATAACACTTCCCTCTCCTCCACTCTTTGCTCAATCCTCACATTCTCACTCTCTTTAGATTTTTTTTCTCCACTCAAATTCCCTCACACAGGCCTCGTTTATAGCTGGGAATCAGGCATTCAGTGATTGTTGTTGCACATTATTAGAAAAAAATTAATACATTTTTAAAAAAAGTTGCGTAATGATTGTATGCTGCTCTATCTGCTAAATGACAAAGTTCTTCAAAGGTATTTTTTCTTATTTTGGAAAGAGAGAAAAAATATTTTGCTATATGTATAAAAAAAAACAGCAGTCATCAATACGTAAACATTCTGGAAATAGAAAAGTATATGTATTTTTAAATGTTCCTGTTTTTGTGATTTGTTCAAATGTGTAGCACAAATTAAAGTTCCTCATTGACTTAAATGTTGTGTTGTCATCGCTCTTCTGTGCGACAGTGTCTGCCGTCGGGTGTAAGAATGAATTTGAAGTCTGTGTTGTGGTGTTGTTCCATTCAAAACTCGAGTATCCAACAATCTTTATTCTGAAGTCATTGTCAACAGTATAAATAATGACCAAAAGAGGGTCAACATGCACGAGATCAATGCCATACAAACCCTGAAACGCACAAAAGGAAACTGTTACTGCAAAAAAGAAGAAGAAAGAAACAAAACTGGGGAAAAAAACAATGAAAACACCCAACAAGTTTCAAACTGCAGAAATGATCAGCAAAACTATGGTTTAAGTAAAACTGGCAAATATCTCATGCAGAGTTTCACACTTTGCTTAAAAAAAATCCACAGTGCAAATAACCAGCCAGTTACAACTCTAGAAAACATTATCAGATGGTAAGGTAAAGCTAGATATGGATGCCCTGCTGTGATTGGTGGTTATGGTCAGTCAGGTGACCCTTGTAGCACTGGCTGATGCTGTGGTCCAACACTTGGATTTGCTGAGGAAGGATTTGGAGTGAGTGACGGGATCTGGACGTGTCAGCATGGCTCTACATTATAAAGCAAAGGTGTTTTCATGCCTCCTTTAGGAGGAGAAAGGAAATGTAACGATGCAGTCTCATAACTGATAGACACTGTGATACCGCAACTGGCACGGCTGAACTTTGAACATCACGCCGCTGTGATAAGCTGCTTCTTAACCCCACAATGCCAAGTGTATCATATACACTCATCAGTTTGATTTTTATTTTGTATTTTTTTTAAAAAAACCTACTAATAAATCACACAAAAATGGCAAATGTAGCAAAAACAATACAAATTAAAACTATCCAAATTTATCTTTTTTTTTCTGTAGCTTCGGTTTTAAAAAAGAAACATTTTTCTATCAGGTACTTCATGGTTCAGGCTTCACGAGGTGAAGGACGATGTTTTGCAGGTTGAATCCGAATTTGTCAAAAATGTAATTTCACTTCATTTTTTCCACCAAATGCATGGAACAACCTGACACATGGGTGCTTTTTGTAGTCCATCTTCAGGACTTTGTAGTTTTTACACAGCAGAGCTAGGCTTACATCCACCTTCACATTAAAAGGTTTCTTATAAGTGCAGTCGAGCTCTCTCTGAGCTCCAGGCTTCTCTTCATCTCGTCCTCACCTTCTGATCTTTTCTATCAAGGTAAAGTGATCGGGGGCAGGAGGTACTTTATGTTGTACTATACGACCACGGCAGCTGGGATGTTTTGTCTAGTAAAATAACTGCTGCTGCTAAATTTGTTTTATTCAAAGCATAATTAGAATAAAGAGAATTATATCTGATTCCAGGCAGCTATCCAAGCCCAATATTTTAACTTAAAACCAGCACAAACAGCATGGGTGGCTACCACTTTTCTTGTAATGTTGTTGAGCAAACCATGACATACAAAAAAAAAGTTTACAACCAATGACTGCACTTTCCCTTTTCTCCGTCTGTAGGCTTTAGTGTCTCAAATATATTTCAGGAAAAACAAAAAACCCACAACAACACGAGTCGTTCCCAAAGGCGACTTCATCTTCTGAAGATCCAAATAATATGTGTGAGACAATGTTGAATATTTACAAACAGCTGTTTATGCTGCAGTTTAAATGCACTGCAAGGATGCAGCTGAGAGTCTGGAGTGGAGCATGTGGTCTTCATGGAGTGGTTATTAACTAAGTGCCCCCTCCCCCAGCGAAAGTGAAGTCCAGGTACGATGTCACAGGTGGAACGGGAGAGCGAGGTTGTACTACTCGTGATTTTTCAGTTCACTGCCTCTGTCGTTTTCTTCCACTCTTCAGTGCAAAAGTCAACACTCGTTCACAAACTTGCGTCTGTGGAGTAGACGCTGATACTGCTCGCTACAACAAATGGATTTACAAAACATTCAGGGGTTCACTGAGGCTCACTTTGTTTGCAAATACTTCTAAAATTCTAAAGTACATCTTCAGTTTGTGTCTACCTGTTTCAGAGAACTGGGTAGGCATCTCAGCGTGCTATTTACATCTGGAATTTAATAGAAACGACTCAAAAATACTGTTGGCAAAAGTCACACGTGCCTCTGGGCTTGACTGATGAGAATCCGCTGTGCTTTAAACCGCCTCACACTGCATACTGATTGGTTAGACCTAACCCACCTCAAACGCTGATTAATTAGGCAACTTTCCTCGCTGCGGACTCCTTTGAAGTCACCGAGGGTTTAAGATTGTGTCTGTTATACAAACCCAGCAGGAGTCTGCGTGAGGGAAGCAGGTACGGCAGCTGTTCAGTGGAGTCGTGGAGTGTAATCTGCTTGGCTTTGAGCCGTGCAGACGCTGGGTTTCACATTCATATTTCATGAGGCGTAGGTACTCCTTTGGCCGAGAGTGGTGTGTGTATCCCGTTTGTCAGTGCACACATCTGTATTCCTTGTTAGTTCCTATCTCCAGTCCGGTGTAGCATGTTGTGCATGTCTTAGCTGGGAGGCCGAGGTAATCAGCAGGAGGAGGCGCTGATCTTCTCCGAGACCTCTGGGTCGGACTTGGCTACCAGGAAACGCAGTCGACCCCCTCCCAGACGAATCAAATCCACCGCGCTGTAATGGCACAAACGGGAGGAAGCGGAGGGAGAAGGACAGAGTCTGGTTACCTGATGCTCAGCAGAAACGTGAGGATAACATGGCATCACTGTCTGAGCTTCGACCAATCAAAGTAATCAATCGGCTTAAGAGGCTGACAGCAGTGGTTAGCAATGTGGAAAGTTTGCTCATTGTCATTGAAGTCAGTGATAACTCAGTGGTATCATTTATCTCTGTTTAACGCCTCCACTATAACTTCTCCCTTACCTCTGGTAGTCTGCTCCTATCAGACTGGTACCGTTCACCGCCAGGATGCGGTCTCCAATCCTCAGTCTGCCATCAGAGGCGGCTGGTCCATCGGGAATCAGAGTCCGGATGTAAATGCCTGGAGCGTTGAGAGGAGTGTGCTGCAGGATGGAGAAAGCAAAGGAAATCGATTGATGCCACAGCCAGGGAAAGTACTTGGCCAGAGGCAGGTGTCCATTAAAGCTGTGTGCATTCACTACTACTGATAACTGCTGATTTAAACTGATATTTAGAAGTATACAAAACCCAGCACCACTACCTCTACCATTGAACCTTTTCTAGTTAGTCTGGTCTGGTTTTCTGGTCCTTTTCTAGACACTAACGTTAACAACCTTTTGTTATAGGTAGGAAAATTTGCACACAATAACAGAATTATACTCAAAGCTTGTAAAATAAAGTTAAAACTGAGTGTTATCTTCCAATTTGCACACAATATAATAACTTTAGCGAGCTGTCACTTGAGAAAGCATCAAGGCTCTGGAAAGAAAACTAGTGAGAGATGTGTTTAAAGACCCTAGAACAACTGCCAGGACGCAAGTGAATGACTTAGCTAAGTTGGGAATTGTAGTCTCAAAGAAGACAATCCCTAGAGCCCTGCTAGAGTCACTGGACTGTGAGGATGAAGACCAAAAAAAACTCAACTTCTGCAGAAGAGACACCTGCAAGCCAGACTGTATGCTAAGATCAACCTGGTGAAAAATGATGCATACCAGAATTATAAAACTAAAGCTCTTTGGCCTCAGAGATTCTGGTCATGTTTGGAGAAAGAATGGAGAAGAGTGCAAGCTAAAGAACACTATCCAACAGTGAAACACAGTGATGGAGGTATCATGCTGTGGGGATGCTTCAGTGCGTCTGCAGCTGCGTCAAGGTGAAAGAAAACCTAAGCAGTCAGCAGCAAAACTGGGTGTAGGTTGTGATTTTATCTTATAAAACAACAATAATCGATAATCTCCAGAAACCAAAGTAAAGGTTATTAACTTGCATGCATAAAACCCTGACTTGAATGTCATGGAAAATCTGAGGAGTGAATTGAAAACCATCAAATCTGGAGGAGCTTGAAATATTAGCCAAATAAAAATGGGCTGGGATTGCTCAGGAGACGTGTGTGAGACATGTTGAAAACTACAAAAACAACTGCAGGCTGTTATCCATCAAAAAAGATGCACAAGTGACTGTTAAAATTAATGGGCTAATAATTTTGACCCTGGTAGTTTTTGGTTTTTGTGAAATAATTTTGTTTCTGTGCACAAAGTAAAAATAATGTAAGCATTCAAAATAAAACCACAGTGTTTAAAAACTTTAAAAATTTCTTTTTTTGCTATTTGGGCTGATTGGGACCTGATGAATGTAAAAACAAAGAATTACCTGATTTTTTTTAATATACCTGATTTTTGTTTCTAAGAAAAATGAGATCCACATATGAGGACATTCGTTTTAACAGTGGCAGAGAACAGTGGCAGTATAATGTGCATATTAGGCCCTTGTAGAGCAAAATTTGGTATTTTGGTCTAGACAACCCAAAATGTGTTGTCCACACGCCAGGTCCTAGGAGGGTAAAAATGACATTTTCAGGGAGGTAGCTCTTAAACAATAAATAAGGGATATGAATACAAAGTATTAATTTACTTTGCACTTTAATTTATTTGCAATACGTAACTTTAAAATGTGTAAAAAGTAGTAGTTATCAGTGTCAGTATTTATTGTATGTCTAGCATGTGCATGTGGATACTGCTGAAATTTGTGAATTTCCCCCCGGGAATGAATAAACTATCTATAATCTAATCTATATACTTAGATCTAATCTTTATACTATATACTATATGTTAGTGACCCAGCATTTTTAAAGCACGTGGCTAAAACTCGATATATTGTGAAAAATGCGTTTGTCTACTTACCAGGCCGTCTATGAGTCCCATGCCCAGTCCGTAGGGTCCCTTGTCCAGTTCCACTACAAACACCACACACAAGTCATCAGGAAGGGAGGGGACGCCGGGGGAGGATACAGGGAAAGGGAATTCACACCCACTAATACACCCTGCAGAGGACACAGACACCCAAAGGCACAAAACACACACAGACACACACAGGGTCTCGCTATGGGGTTGGACAAACAGGAAAAAAACACTAGACTTGCTGTGCAGAAGAAACACGCGGATATTCAGACATGTGCAAAGGTGCAGCTGCTATACCACACACACATGCTTCTGCCTGCAGAGGTCACACTCACTACACAGTGAAGGGGATCTACTGTTGCACACACTTTAAATCAGCATTTTTTGTCATGCCCTTTCAGTGCAGCTATAAAGGCGTTTTAAACTGAGCAGTAATAAAATGTACAACATGCCACATTAATAAAGTGTTTGTGACAAATCCTCCCGCAATACACACACACACACACACACACACGCACACACACGTCACTGAGTGACATGGTATTGACCGTAACATGGTTGATCAATGTAAATCTGCTGTTTCTTCATTAATTCTGTTCTGCAGAGGGTGTAGTGCCAAAGCAAACTCTGGATTCCTGTGACCTTAATTAATAATGGTTTTTGCCGCAGTGAGATGGATGGATTTGAAACTTAGAAACGAGAGCAGAGGTTGTCAATATCTGCAGGTATCTACTGCTGAAGATCTGAAATGTTGCTGATTTTTTTAAACACATGCATGCTCACTATCTAAAATTAACTGTAAGATTTAAACTTGCACATCTGGGGTGGACAAAATAATAAAAAATAATAATAAAGCGCATTATGCAATTCAGTACAAAAAAAATCAGCTTGTGTGAAGCCTTTGTTCTTTTTTTGGTAAGGGGGGGGGGTCTGATTACACACTGGTACTTGTTATTTGTGTTTTTATCAAAAAAATTAAATCTGCACATTAGTTTTTGCTATTTTGTCCACCTCCTGTAAATAACGTGGCCTACCCTCCAGTCCGTTGGTGATGAGTCCATTGGTCTTTTTACATTCAGCCACAGTCCTGCCGGTGCAGCCGTTGGTCTGAACGTTGGTGCCGATGAGCGGCACAGGCCCTCCTCCGCCTCCTCCTTCAGGGTACAAGGGGGTATTGGGAGGAGTCAGGAGGCAGGACGGGTCTGGATTTGCAGTTCGAGGGTGGTGAATGGTGCCGTTCCGTCTGAGGCTGTGTGTGTGAGACTGGCCTGAGGGTCTGTCCCGTCCTCTCTCCTCTCCTGGCTCTCCTGGCCCGTCGTCCCCTGGACCCCCTGAACGGGGACTGCTGTGGCTCGGAGGTAGAAGCTCCCTCTGTGTTGAGATGGGACAGACAGACTTTAGAGGATAATCTGACATCTAAAGTGAGGATGCAGATGATAGCAATAACAATTATTCCTTTTTTCTTTCACCTGCGAGAATATTTAGAGCATCGCTGAAGCTTTGCTCCTGCATGAAAACCCATCAGCTTGAGATGATTAAAATTTGAATGCATTATCATTGCACATATTAATGTTCCAGTGAGCATACTTTTAAATGCATACTTTTCTGTGTGCGGGTATGTGTACATATGAGGGTGCTGTAACACTAGGGATTATGGTCTAGTCAGCCGTTCCCACTAATTAGACAGCCTAAAGACTAATCAGATTAACCATGATTTAACCATGTCTAGGTTTCTCTGTGTGTGTGTGTGTGTGTGTGTGTGTGTGTGTGTGTGTGTGTGTGTGTGTGTGTGTGTGTGTGTGTGTGGGTTGGCTGGAATAGAGGGTTTTGTCTTTCATTTATGGGATTACGAGGAACTCCTCAACAGCCACAGCTGCTGAGGCACATGGCCTGGATTACTAGGTGTACTCAAGTACACACTTGAGTGTGTGTATGTTTGTCTTTCTGAACCTGAACTTCCGGCCAGTCAGCTGTGTTGGTTCCATTGGAGTGTGTCTGCACACTGGGAGTGTTGGTGTGTGTTTGCGTCTTGGTGCGGAGCCCCCACAGGTAGTGCCGGATGTAGAGCAGCTGTCTGTAGATGCTGTCTTCTACACACTCGCTGTCCAGGTCCACTCTGAAGCCCGAGCTGGGCAGCACAATTGGAGGGTGGTTCTCAAAGCTCTCCAGGAGGTCGACTGCAAACACAAACAGTGATGTTAACATAAATCTGTGCTGCTGTCTTGAAGGACTACATATTCAATACACAATGCACAATTAGTATAAATAGCGCTAGCTGCTAGTTAGCATTAACTGTATTGAATGCACACAAGTTTACGCAACGTGTATCTAGCACTCTCTCTTCTATCTACCAGTTCTGATCCTGGTTTCAAGAAACCTCAAAATGCTTTGAAGTATGAGTAGGTCATCAATAATCCTTGTTTTTTAATTACAATTTTGTCTTCCAACAATCACAAAAACTATTTCGTCTTGATGCGTGCTCAATCATCCAGGTATCCCCAAAAGTTGATTCGGTTCATCTGGACGTAGCGTTTTCAGTGGGAGAAACGTTTCATCACTCATCCAAGTGACTTCTTCAGTCTCAGCTGACTGCAGGTTTCTCCAATCTTATAAATAATGAAATAATTGATCAATGGTCATGAGAATTTGCATATTAATGATCAAGGAACTGACCTCCCAGTCCATTGTTCTTTCAGTGGTGCCAGTTTCAGTCATTATGCAAATGTACTGTTTATAAGATTGGGGAAACCTGCAGTCAGCTGAGACTGAAGAAGTGATGAAACATTTCTCCCACTGAAACGCTACGTCCAGATGAACCAAATCAACTGTTGGGCACAAAAACTATTATGTCTTCTTTATAACAAATCAGTGCATATCTTTCCCTTCCTCTGCTCTCCTCGCTCAACAAAGTGCCCAAAGTTCACAAAGTGTTAGATTGTTCACCCATTAACAGGTAAATATGAGGCTAGACCAAGGTAGTTTTATTACTTCATTATGTGATGTCAAATACCTCAGACTCGGACGTTTGGTGCATCTGTTTGGCTGAGGAGCCAACGGTACAAAGCTACCACCTGTAGGATTATGACTAAACGCCTTTAAGTCGAGATGCCGCCTGCACATGACCTTTTCTGCAGCGTAAGAACATCAGTTTGTCTTGGATAGCTTTGGATACCCTTCATCCTGCATCTCAGTTAATGGGAAAAGTGGAGCTAAACTGGAGCAGGCAACCTATTTTTCTTTTTGATTTACACATTCACCTAACAAGTGAAAGCTTTTTAGTTCAATCCCAGAAAGAGACAAATCTCTGGGGTTGCATCAGGAAGGTCATCTGGCATAAAAACTCATGCAGAGCTAGTATCCACACTTACAGAGGAAATAATGTTAAAAATGTTGTTTTGACAGCTTAATAAGTGCATGGTGCTTTCAAAGTCAACGAGTAATTGTGTTAAATCACTGTGATTCAGTACTGTCTGAGAATTTCTGCTCCTTTAGTTATAAAGCTGCTTGTCAAACACGTAAGAAAAAATTTCAGCTATTTCCTGATATAGTGATATCGGCATCTATATGCACCAATAAATGAAAAATACAGCAAGGAAAGAGACAACAGGGAAAGTCTCCCAATTACATCAAGAGTGTTGATGTTTCTTAGTTTGTCAACCAGAGGGCACTCTGCAACTTCTCTGATGGTAATGCCACAAACCAGCTGACCCAAGTGTAAACATATAAACAACAACGTGTCAATAAAACCATCATTTTTTCATTTTTAAACTGTACTGTCATGTAACGTTAGTGTGTACTAATAAATAATAGATAAAACAGATAAAAAAAAATATTTTGTGTGAAAGAAATAAAAATATCGGCCCACAAATAAGATTTTTAAACGACCAAATATCAGTAGCAGTCCTGGTTTAAAACAGATTTATCCACATTCGCATTCATGTGTATTTGTTTTTGCTTGATCTTCTCCTTCATTCTACAAGCTGCTCAACAACCCCTGTAAACCATTACACAATTGACCTTTAGCACGACAGTAACAGGCCTCCAACTGCCAACTCACGAGATTCAGACCAGTATTTATTGTACCTATAATCCCAACTCATAACACGAGGGCTTCGTGTTGTCATAATGTTGTCAGCGTCTCTGGCCGGAAAAATTCACACAAGCTCACAAACGTACCTGTTCTGTATATGTACGGCTCGTCCTCGCTGCTGGGTTGCCATGTTGGAACGGGGCCTATCTCTGCTGTGAGCTGGTACTGAGTGAGAATGCGGTGGAGCTGGACTGGTTTTAGAGTTGGGTGCTCACTGGACAGCGCTCGCCACCCCAACTGCAAACAAAGAGCAGAAATAAATCCCAGACTTGAAGAGATGAGAGGATGTCAGGGGAGTCACAAGTTTATTAGCAGGGTTTTGTAGGACGTCACTCATCACAAGCTGATCGATCACTTCATTTACAACTTGAGACTAATTTTTTATTTTAAGATTTTCTGCTTACGCCCACATATTCCCTCCCCATTGCTTATAGCAATGTGAGGCTCATCATATACAAACAAAAAAGACATTTCCCTGTGTGTTACCTGAGTGAGCTGTTGGGGGTGTGTGGCCAATATGGACACTGTGCTGTTGAGTTTGGTGAAGAATTTTTCAGCCAGATGTCCCAGACCGGACCTGCTCGCCCACTCCATGACCATCCTCAAGCATGCCTGAATCTGCAGCATCTTGGAACGCTGGAACCAACCCCGAGACGGACCTGCGTGCACAAAGACACATACACACACACACGAGCAGAAGGGAGCGTTTTGAGTATTTAATCAGAAACACTGCAGTAGATTTTTATTTGAGGGTGTGCGCATGAGAAAGGCAGAGTAAAATACAGAATGTGTGCTTCTGAGATCTTACGTCTGCGTGCATGTGTGCTGTTCGGCAATACAGACATTAATTTTTAATTAGGTTGTGATTGCAGTAGGTGGAACAATAGCAACAGCCAGCAACCGCCTACTCCTCGCAGAATACAAATGCACCGCTGCAGAAGGGCTCAGCTGACTGAGCTCCTGCTTGTGTAATCCTTCCTTTTCTCTCCCGCACATCAAAGAACTGAAAGGAAGTTTTGTGGCAAGTTAAGCAGGCGATGACTATAAGTCTAGCACTTTTGAAGCTGGGATCCTATTGTTTCATTACCTCACTGCAGCTTTAATGCATTTAATACTTTCTGGTATGTACCCCTCCACCCCCTCAAAGTGAGCTAAGGCTCGAGTTGGGGCTCAGTAGAAATGATGAAAAATAACTGCGCTCCAATGGTGTCATTTTTTCAGAGCCTGCAAATATTTTAATACCTACATTTTACATAATCAGAGCAAATGTGCAAAAAATCTATCAGATGTGGTTAAAATCTCCTTTTTAATCTGTAGTCTGCAAGTCAAAACAAGCAATAATTAATCTAAATACTAGTTCTATATATAGTAAACATACACAGCAATATATAATGCAATAATTCTGCAATGACAAGGCAATCACAATTTTATCAGCCAAATATTACCCAATATCAGCATTATACGCCCATATTGACTAAATAATGGAAATTATAGCTGATATGAGCCAACAGGCAAGTAAGATGCCATTCACCACTGTCCAAGGCTGACATTTATCCGATCCATTTACTGTAAAGATTGGCAGTTTTTCTAGATAAGAGAGTGTAAAACAGACAGGAAAGTACGGTGGGGGGTGGGGGTGACATCCAGAAAACAGTCTGAGGCAAGCTCGAAACCCGGACGCTTCAGCAAAGACTCTGGCCTTCGGTACATGGGTCATCTGTTCAACCAGGTGAGCTATAATGATCCATCCAACAGACTTTTCAACAGGTAAAGAAATTTCTGTAATCAGGCAAATGTCTAAAAATCCCTGTACAATTTCCTAAAGCATCTGACATTAGAGAAATAAAACCTAAAAGTAAGAGAGTTTTTGGCACATTACTTACAAATACCAGAAATGATGAACTGAATAACTGTTGCACCTGCAATAGTTAATATTTCCCAGAACCCATACATGAAATGTCTCAATGAAACCGTCCGCTTCCTATATAAAACTATTTAAAACAGGCTAGATAACAAACTGTGGGCAGCTGTAAAAACTGATGTAGTAAAATTATAACAGAAATGTCCACAATTCAATAAAAAAGCTGCCACGGGATGCCTGGGTGGGTGTAGATCCCAGGGGGAGACTGGTCTGGTTATGAAAATAAGTCAGACTGTAAAATGACCCACGGCTCACTTTTTCTGAGTAAACACTTTCCTGATAAGTTTATGGGCTCAATCGCTACTTATTTAATACAAAGTGATCTTTATTTTGTACATTACAGTAGATGTTGAGTACAATCAAAGATAAAGCAGAGTGTGGCTTGGGCGTGTCTGCTATAGAAGAGTGCAGTGTTTTTGCCTTCTCTGTAAAATCCCCCCTCATGGCATCTAGTATCACAGCAAGTCTAGTTTTAAAACAGCACTTCAAAGCCACATCACCGATACTTCCATCCTTAATATACAGTCTCTGTTTCTACCAAACATGTCTAACTTTTGCTTTTAAGGACATTAAAGTCAAGGGAATGATCTGGATTCCTAAATTCCTTTTTTAGGACACACACAGACACACAGTCCTAAACTGAACGTCTCCCCCCAAAATCACTACAAGCAGCACATGACAGGAAGCTTCAGGCAGACAATGAACTGGCAGCATTATCTGCTGACTGCGCGCACACACACATAACTTCTGCCATATGTTTTGGATGCACGCACACACCCTCCGCTGTAATAGGCTTATGTCTAGGCATACAGTAATCTATATGAGAGGCATCGCAAACTGACCAGACATCTCTTAACCTCTCGGCAAAAGGTGTGATAATGCCGTGTATACCCCAAAATCAAACCATCCAAACAGCATTTATTATAATTTGTTAGCAAGTTTTCCCTACAGCACAACGAACATCTCCGCCACGCCGTTCATCTTTCCTCGGCTGTATGATTGAGCAATGTGAGTGTAGGGTTTTTGAATGCTGAATGTGAACAAGTGTGCATGTGTGTGTGAGTGGGTTGCGGAGCACCCAGTGCGAACGTCAGCGTTACCTGCTACAAACTCACTTCTCTGTTACCATGGACACCATCAGCAGAGAAATATCAATGAGCGACAAAAATGGGAGCGAGGCAGAGAGAAAGCCAGACAGCAAGGCAGAGAGGGAGGTGGAGATGAGATGGGGGACGGTGTAGCCCCTGCATGTATTAAAGGTATTTCTCCTTCTGCCTTTGCCAGACATGTGATCTGTCCTGTCTCTACGAGCTAATGAAGACATATGGCATGTATCTGAGTGTGTGTGTATGTGTCCGTGTGTGTAAGACAAACGATATAAAGAGAGGGCGAGGGGAGCTGGCTTGACATGCAGACACAGCTGGCAGTAAATTACTGTTTTTTTCTGTTTTTGTTGTTGTTATTTTTAAAGAAAGGTAAGAGCCTATTAGCAAAGTCATCATAACAACCGAACGACCTTCCAGCCCTTTACCCTTCACTCCGCCCTTTTTCACTCCTCCCCTGCTCTATCTGCTCTCTCTCGCCTCCACCCAATCCCATCTCCACTCTTCTTTGTCTCACCCCCTGATGGCCAGATGGAAAGAAGGAAGGCAAGATGGAGGTGGGGGAGGAGGAAGAGGAGGGGGAGAAACAGAATGCAGATAGGAGAAGGGCACTGAGGACAAATCTGGGTTAGTCCCCTGTCAAAATGCTGACAAGGACACAAGGACACAGTTTAGTTCACTGTGTCTCTCATATACTTTCACAACTGTACGAACCCGGAGGGTCTAATGCAAATGCAAAAGAGAGAGAGAGTGTGTGTGTGTGTGTGTGTATGCTTTTTCTATACCTTTGTCCATCAGTTGGTTAAACAGTGACACGTTGGAGAAGAAGAAGAGGTAAGCAAACATTTGAGCCTGGATCTCTGGGTGAACCTGGTAGCCTTGCAGAAGCTCCTGCGCACTCTGAAAGACCTGCACACACACATACACACCCATAGATTTCATAGTCTTTGCTGTAGCTTCTATTCCTATACGTCAGTATACCTAAGCAGCTACAGTTAGGTTCATAAGTATTTGGACAATGATGCATAAAATCTACCACAATAGATTTTAAATCCTACAATCATTATAGGATTGTGTAGGCTTTCAGAAAGGGTTAAATAAGTATTAAGTATTTCCTTATCTGTTTAGGGGTTACAGTCATTTTATACAGTTTTATACAGCCAGGTGAGGGCTCTTCTCTCAAGATCTAGTTTCGATTCCATGTGTTGAAGTTGCATTTTTTAATATGAGGTACAAAGAGTTGTTAACGCAAAAGAAGGAGGACATCTTTAACCTGATAAATCTACATAAACCTTTCAGAGAGATATCAAAAACTTTGGTAGTGTTAAAATCAACAGTCTGGGGAATTATTAAAAGGAAGGAATGACTTGGCCAACTGAAAATGACTGAAGACAATTAAAGTGGATGATCACAGAATTCTTTCCGTGGTTAACAAAAACAATTTCACAACATCCAACCAAATCAGAAACACTCTCTAGGAGGTAGGTGTATTATTGTCAAGGTCTACCATCAAAATTTGTCTTTAGCAATAGAAATACAGAGCGATTACTACAAGGTAAAAATTACTGGTTACACTCAAGAAAAGGAAAGCCAAAAAGCCTTTGCCTGATAACATCATTCTTTGGACAGATGAAACCAAGATTTATTTGCACAAGAATGATGAGAAGAGAAAAGTATGGAGGAAGACAGAAAGGCCTGGCAGAGCATCTCAGAGAGAGGAAATCATCATGTGATGATGTCCACGGGTTCAAGACTTCCAGACTTTTGAATAAAAATGTTTGTAATTCCTGAACACTTAATGCAATAGTTCTGGCTTTGGACCGGATGCTATTTACGACCCCTGAATTAAAGCTCAAAGTCTGCACATATATTGACTGCCTGACTTAAAATAGACTGTGGTGGTGTAGAGACACGAAATTAAAAATTCTGTCATTGTCCTCAGTTGTATGCCTTTAAATCTATATATGTTGGCAATCCAAGCAGGGTAGTAGCCCTAAAATGTGCATGACAAGCATCTTTTATAAAAATAATTTTAATATGTGCAAATACTCTGAAAACAAAGATATCACTGGTGTCTTAACGTTTTAATAAATTAACTTCTCATGACCTTGAAAACCCGAACTTATACAAAGCTATGCACATCCCTACCTGCAAGACCCTTCGCACAGGTTCAGGAAACCCCACGCCTCCTTTCCAGCAGGGCTCAGAGCTGTCGACTGGAAATGGATTACAGTCCAACAGACCCGGTAACACCACATAAAGAGCCTGGACACAAACACACGAAAACAGAAATACATTATGATGAAGGTGATCGGAATTACAGAATAGTTCACACCATCCGGGCATTCTTTGTGCCCACGAAGGTGTGTTATTATTCATCCGGTGCAATTTAAAAAACACAACAAAAACCTTCTTAGTCATTTAGAAGATAGCATCGCTGCTGTGTTGACAGATTACCTTGGTGATATAGTAGACACACTGCTGGAAAGTGTACATGATTACTTCTTCCAAGATTGTCATAGCCTCCTCATTGGCTGATATGGTCGCTGATAGCAACGACTCCTTTGACCCTAGACACAGATGATGGAGACGGAGTCACATTTAAGATATATACAGGGAGAGAGAGAGGGAGGGCTGTAGCTGTGTCAGTATCTACTGTATGTCAGTGTGAGTAATGACTCCAAGTTGTTTCCACACTCATCATTCTGACTTTGCGTATGTGTGTGCGTACCTTGCAGTGTCTCTATGCTGTGTGTGTATGCTGGTGCTCTTTGCTGTATGAAGTAGAGGATCTCGATAGAGTTGGACATCCAGAAGAAAATGGTCTGCAGGTCTGGGACCAGGTCTGAGATGCTGAGCAGAGACAGCGAGGCCGGGTCCTGGCTACTTGGACGTGCAGAGACAAGTTACACACAGTCAGGTAGGCTTCTCGACACCATGCACATTCCTACATGAACTGCTTTCACACGTGACCTCTGGACAGTCGGGTCAGGACTTAGCCACCAATCGGACATTTTCACATTCAGCACACAGCAGAAGATAGTTTGCTTCAGATGCATTCTCACTATGCACAATAACACAGTGTGGTTTAGGTGAGGGAGCTGCCTGACTAGAACGTGCAAGAGGCAAGAAAAAGGACGACCAATTGCTCCCAGACTATGAAGTGTGCTATTCTCACACGAGCACAGTCGACGTCTTACTAGTTTGTAGCAGGTTAAAAGATCTTTTAATGACAGAGAACTCTGTTAACGTAATCCCTGCCAATGATGAATTTTTCTGTACTTTCTGATCATAAGAGAGTGTTTGATGGATATGTTTATATATATTCATAGTAGAAAAATATTCTGGGAGGTCTTGAATGATAAGTGAGTCCCAAGTCTCTGGTAAGTTCAAAACAATGCTCTATAAAAGGTCAGGGCTCAAGGCAGCCACACAAAATAAAATGCACATGAGACCGTCAGCTTCCTATTTTTTAACACGAGCTGGAAATTGATACTTACTGCTGAGCTTGCTTCTGCGCCAGCTCCTTTGTCTTCTCCTGCAGGGCGTACACGCACACACACACACACACACACACACACACACACACACACACACACACACACACACACACACACACACACACACACACACACACACACACAGAACAATTAAGGGCTCATTAAACTTTTAAAGCGTGCGTAGGAGAAGCACACTTCATGACGCTTTTACTAACCTACAGTAAGAAGTAGCACCACTATCATTTACAAACCCATAGTGACACATGTTGAGAATTACCTCACGCTCCACTGTCCTGAATATAAAATCACCCTAATTATAATTGAAAAAAAAACAAAACAAAACTAATTAAACAAAAAAAGGGAGAAATAAACCACACCTTCCTTTTAACCAACAGCCATAAACTGAATACATATTTGGGGCTTCCTCCAGTGTGTAATTGCAGCAGTTGGCCACCTCACTTGAAGCAACTCCACAGCTCTATAAATTTCACACTTTCAATATAACATAAACCTTCAGGAAACATTGTTTCACTCTGAAGTACTGTTCTTTTAATGACTGTGGCTTTAGTCCAACAACTAACTGACTAAACTCATAAGATGAGACACATCAGGGAGCTGTTCTCACCGCAGTGGGACAATTTCCTACATTTTATTGCAAAGTGCAGGAAAAAAAGGTCACAAAATATTCACAGTAAGGTATTAAAATATCAGATAAGGTGGCATCAAATCTTTATGCAATGCTGGATAAAGTGGACTTGTTTGGGAAACAAGTGTAGAGGAGATGAAGGTAAATTTGATCCCTTTAGGAATAACTACCGAAGAAGTGTCTGGAGGGGTAAAATGAGTATTTGCCTAAAGTAAAGCTCAGGGGGTGAAAATCTTCTGCTTTAGGTTTTTTTATGTGAAAGCCAAATAACAAGCATAGCAGGGGTTTAGTTAAAACAGACGACTGTGCACGGCTGGAGTGTAACACAGTATAAAACGTGATACGGCAGCCTGTTTAACGATTCACCTGACCTGACATGGCTGACCAGTTCCTCTCCACACGAGGCCAGAGGGACCACAGAGAGACACAGACACAGTAACAAGCTGAAACTGACCCATGCTATGCTCTGGATTCGCCGGACGATCTTGAGCAGCAGTTTTCCGAAACTTCCAGGTGGGAATGTCGATGCAGAGTGCTGTATGCACATGCACAGCAGGTAGGCAGGTGTCAGCTTGTGGTCATCTCCTGAGCAGAGGACACAGGTCGACTTATTGAAAACACACTGAATAATTTAGAGGCTTCAATGAAGCTAATTTCAGCTGGAAGGCATATGAAGAGTAACGTGGTCAGGAATCGTAAAACCAGAAGCTGCTGTTCAAGTCTTAAACTTTTATGTTTGCATTGACACTGTTAATGATCTGTATGCAGCAGGACAAGGACGAAAACTGCTGATGAAATACTCTCCTTGTCCTCCCACAAATAAGGCGGTAATGTAATAATCTGCCTGAGTTCATCTACTGAGAATTTATTAGTATTCAAATTAAGTTTCTCCACGTTTTTGAGCTTGAACTGAAATGTTTTCCATCACTGGGCAGCAAAAGTCTCATATAACATATTGTGGATAAAGAACCACAAAATACAATTTGGTACTTTTGCTAGAAAATCATTTTAACTGGACCTCAGATAAAAAAAAAAGGTTCAGTTGATGTCTTTGATAATCTTTATATTACAGTAAGCCAGGCTGCTGACCTCCAGGTTCTATGAGAGACACGATCCTGTTTAGCAGCTGGTCTTCATGAGCCTGGTCAAACTCCAGCTGCAGCCTCCTTTTCTGACCTCCTCCAGCTCCTCTTCCTCCTCCATCACCCCCTGACACAGTAACTGGCCCTCCTGTTGACGTCCCCACGCTGCGGGGTTTCACCAGGTGAGGTTTGAAACCGCGTCTGACCGCCGGGGTGCTCGACACCTGCGCTGCTCTCTCTTTCAGCACGGAGCCGCACATCTTACAAGTCTGAGCCCCGCCCTCTCCCTCCTCCGCCCCTGCATCGTAAAGCTGACCCAGCGTGCGAAGGCGTGCCAAGGTCTGCGCGGGTAGTGGCTTAGAACCTGTGGGGTCCTTGTACAGAAAGATGTAATGTGCCCCGAAGGAAAGGAGGTCACCGTGCCGCAGCGTGGTGGAGCGCTCGCAGCGGGAAAAGTTCACCAGGACTGTGGCGTTGAGCACGGCCTCGACTGCAACGCAGAATCGTTGACTCTCCCCCTGCTCTTCTCCTTTGTTGTTGTTGCTGGCGTGGCGACGGGGCGCGGGGACTCGGCGTAAGCGGCAGTGGAGCGGCAGGATGTCGGGGGAGAAGAGGCAGATGTTGGGACGAGCTGATGGAGTCTCCTGACCGACCGTGTGCTGCTCTCTGTTCAGCAGATACACCAGGCAGTCCTGCAACACAGAAAGCAAAAAAGGTCACAAAAATCAGACACACTAGAGGTCTGATTTTTGTGAGTACCCTCACCTGCCGATTGAATCCCTGAAGCAGCAGAAGATGAGGGGACTGGTACAGAGAGTGCTTCACCCCTCCTCCTCCTCCTCCCTGACTGCTCTCCTCTTTTCTCCGGCTGCTGGAGGTCCCCTCGCGTTCTCGGCCTCTCAGTGGTCCTGGCAGGGTGGAGTAATAACGCTTGGGCTCCTCTCCCAATCCCAGCTGCAGACGGATGTGCATGCACACGTTTAAGATTGAATGCACTTCATAAGCAGTTCAGTAAATACTAACAATCAATCATCTTCAGCAGGAGGCCCCACCTGGTTGAGGCTAGTCTCGCTGAGGCTGCGACAGAAGGATGAGTTGCTGGATCGGGGCAGGGTCAGCGTCCCCTTCGCCCTGTTCCTCTGGAGCTTACGAGCCTGGGCATTAATATCTACGATGAACAGCAAGCCAGAGAACACGTAGGGAGAGAGAAGGACAAGAGGGAGAACAGGTGGAGAATAATAAAGAGGAGCAAGGAGAGGCAAAGAATGGAAGAGAAAAGGGAGAAAGTGTGCTTAAACCTGGTATCTACTTTCTTAACATGTATGTTTGACAGATGGGGAAACTGAGTAGGTCTGGTTGAAGCATTTTCTCAGACTTCAGTAACACAAATGCATACGTCATGTGTGAGCTGAGTGAAAACCAACAAAACAAATCCAGGCAGGAGTGAGACAGTCAAAGTCAGATGAAGTTAATGGTGCTGGATGGAGCAGCACATGTAGCTGACAACAGTGAACCAGATGAAAGGTGAACTGAGCTCGTCGTGGCTCGAGTTTGAGGACGTTTGAGGCCATGCAATGGCTCACACAGATTTACCCACACACGAGAAAATCACTGGCAATGGGGGTGGCACTGGTGACAACGCAGGTAGAGGTGGTCTTCATGGCAATGACTGACAGCCACCCTACCTGAGGCCAGTCCCCACCTTTAGAGCTGGACTGTACCACTCGACCACACCGCAGGGGGGAGCTCCTGTGTTTGCCCAGCCCAGACCGACCCATTAGAGCCACCAGGAATTGTGGGGTTTTGGGCCCTACAGCAGGGTGGGAGGGGTTAGGAAGGGGGGTAAGGTGAGAAAACACCCCCACACCAAGGACAAAAAACAACCCCCAAACACACACGCCATCCGCACAACACAAGACACAATACATGCACTGTGGAGCAAAGTGAGTCTGTTGTGCTTTAAGTGAGAAACATCAGCCGTTAGTAGAGAGAGAGATACACAGTTAAAGGTGTGAGGCACAGGATTTTTTTTACTCTAACACATCACTGACAAATTAGCTGCACTTTCCATTAGAAACTTAGCGTGTTTCAATCTTTAAATTTGATCTGTTTAGATGCTGTGCAGTGATATCAAATTGGATGCCTGCTGCTGGCTCTGAAGGGGAGGAAAACCAGTAAAAATGGCATCAAGTATACCACTGATGGATGATAATTGGGGTTTAACAATTCCTCCACATCCACCATCAGGGTTACACTTGAGTTTTTAGCATATTCTTTAACCATCCATTTTCCTTATGAGCCAATTCAGGGTCACTAGATGCTGGAGGATATCCCAGTTAGAGAGCACAAGATGCAAGGTGCACCCTGGATACGGTACTTTTAATTTTTAGTGGGGAATAAAGAGAAAACTTGTTGCTCACTGCATGAACATAATCATCCCTGTTTTCACAGCCTGCAAACAACTGCTGTTAACTGTTCATTGGTAGAAACAAACTCTAGCCAAGACATGATTACTTACATCATGAGTGGATTGAAATTTTTTTAAAAAAGCACACAGAGCGAAGCGGCTAGCTAGCATAGGCATCATGAGTGCATTACTAATTATCAGGAAATATTATTACTCATCTTAATCTTGATCACTTCCCACAGTTAAATGAACATGACTGAATGATACTGAAAATGTGCCGCCTATTAAAATGCTAAGTAAAAGAAAATCAAGCACTCCCTAAAAAATAGACACCTCGTTTGGAAATACTTAGAAATTAGGGGGAGTCAGTCATTCTGTACAATACAGTAATTATAATTCTACAACTGTTTATAACTTGCATAGTTCATATTTCATATTTCTGCATAGTTTTTATAGTTCACATTTCTGTATAATGTTCATATTTATATCCTGTTCATAGCCTGTACATATAGTTATAGCATATTCATAACATACTTTCATATCGCGTACATTGTAACATACCCATAATAGACCCATATTTTTGTACCCTCATACATATAATAGACCCATTCTGTAATATATCTATATTCTTGCTAATATGTATTTTGTAATATATCTATATTATGTCTAAAGCACTTTCTGGATGGATCCAAACCGCATTTCGTTGCCTTGCACTTGTGACATGTGCAATGACAATAAAGTTGAATTCTATTCTATTTTATTCAGTGATGGCAACTGAAAATAAATTATATGCAAAGAGTAGTGAACGCAAAAGATACAAGATACCGTGGCAAAACATCACAGGTGAAATACAGACGGCTTTCACCCCTGTCGAGTACTTTGCTACAAGTTTTATTCACGTCCATCATGCAGGTAACCTGAACTGAGTGAAGAACTATATTTTGCTTCACAGAGATGCACTTAGGTCAGGTAAATAAACACCTTATTTTAATTAATAGGAATGAAGCACAATGTAAAAGTGAAAGCAGCGCTCCTGCTGACTTTATTTAGTGTTAAGGTTTTAGTGTAAAGAGATAAACTGAATTTATTTGAATAAAAAGGAGAAATGTTAAATAAGCTTGGAAAATAATCACGATCTCAATAATGATCGAAATAATCGTGACAGTCATTTTGTTCATAACTGTGCAGCCCGATCAAATATCTTCATTTATCATTTATTTATACATATGTGGCTTACACCAACACAAAGCCTGTGTTAAAGAGAAGCTCAGTAAACCATATTTCATCACAAAGCTCGGCTAATTCACCAGCACTGTTTCTGAAGCTCATGCACTGAGTTGCTGGAAACTTAAAATCTATCAGAAAGATAATGATAGGTGGAGGCAGTGGATGAAGCGGACGGTGTGGTAGCGTATCATGGGAAGTTGAACCAGGCCACGAGACCTTTGTAACACATTTATAGCTGGTTTTACAGCTATTACGCATCTAATGATAAGTGAAATAATTTGGCCGTGATGTGCTAAGTACACGTTGAAAATCCTGGAGTACCTTTAAAGTGCAATCTCGTTTTCAAAAAGTGTGTGTGAGAAGTTTCACACATGGGCATGCACCTCACACACAGAGAGACGAGTGAAAGACAGAGACAAAAAAGACTTCGGGCTGTGAATTCTGTTAGCATTATAGCACCACTGAGAAAAGGTTAGTGTGAAAATGAACATGTGCATTAATATGTTAGTTGATAAAGCTGCTCTCAGACACTATATAAAGGGGAATTAAGCTGCGTTTTTCCATATAGAGCTAAAAATGTCTCAAAAACACTGAAGAATTAATTAAAGAATAACACTGGTGATAATTTGTACTTCATTTGTTTACAACTCCTGTAAAATGCCAAATCCAACAATAAATTGTTCATTTTAACCAAAGACAAAGTCTAATGTGTGTGTTTGCCACAGAGCGTTCACTTTATCCCGAAACAAAATAAAAATCCCTGCGCCTCACTGTGGCACTGGCTGATCTAACCTTCCTTTACAGCAAACACTGTAGTGAATTTTATTTGCGTCAGTCTCTACGCTACTGTTTCCACGACTGCTGCCCAGAGAAAACAGAGTAAACAGGGAAAACAGAAAGACAAGGTGGTGTCCGGCAGTGGTGGTGGTGTGGGAGGTGCGGTGGACTATTTGCTCCTCCCAAAACTCAGTATAGTGGAAACACTACAGCTGAAATGTTTTAGGTCAACTACAAATGCTCTGTGAGTTTTTAACTAAACATTTTTAAAGCTAATAGTGCTGTTCTTATTTAACCTTTAACGTTAAATGATCAGAAATGCCTTTAATGAGATTAAACTTTTTATTTTTTTTAATCAGATTTTTGATTGGCCAACAAAAGGAGGTGTAGCCGAACTACGTGTGCTGAGCATCACCTCTGCCAATTCCAGTGACCCAATCAGACCTCTCCGCTGTGTTTGTCTTTTCAAACTTTATGGGAAAGACAAAAAAAACAACAACTGCATCATGAGAGCCAGTGCTCATCAAGTCTCTGCTCCACTGTTGGTGAGTTAATTTCTAGTATGCTATTATCATGCTGCTTAACACTAATTTGCTGATATTTGCTGATATCTGTATCTGTATCTCCAAAACAACATGACGTGCTAACTCTGAGGATTCAAAATAGGGCTTCCCAAGCCTATGTACAGTCTATATTTCCAGCCCCACACTGTGTTACCAGATTTAAGTTTAAAATGCTCACAGATCATGTTAACCATGCTGATTAAAAGAGCGATAAATGTGGTTAGTTCAGTGTTTGATGCATCAGCAAAAAGTTATTTGGTTTTGCTTTTACAAAAACTGTAACACTCATTTGACAGCACAGCTCAAATTAGCTCTAAGCGGAACAGACAGCGAACCGGGAGGTCCCTGTTAACAACTGAGCAAAAGGACAAGTAGATGAGAGAGTCTAATTTGAGAAACAAATGCCTCAGGTCCTCAACTGGCAGATTATTAAACGATATACTCAAAGTATTAGCTTCAATGTCAAAAGCACAGTTACAAAGAAGAAGTCATGTCTGTGACTAGCCAATGAAAAGAAAGATGTGAAAAATAACTGTTTACAAAATTATCATTCAGCTGTTACTGTTTTTATATAATGAACTGAGGCCAGTACAGTCACCAACCACAACCTCACTGTTGGTTATATGAACACATTGACAGTAAGAATCCCCCTTTAAACCAGTGCCATCATTGCTTTAAACCCATTCATGTGGATGATGCTGCAGAAGAGAAATGTCATGTCTGCAGATTACCTCAGTGGCGTGGCAGGTAGAACATTTAAGGCTAAGAACATATAATGCTTTTCATTTGATGGGATAAAGAGTTTTCACTGGTTAAAATCCTACAAAACAAAGTGGAAAACATTATGACAATGGAGAAATTATATAGTGAGGGACAGACTATAGTCCCCTTATCCCAGTACACAGATGTAATCACGCCCTTTGACACAACTTTTAGCGTAGTCAAAACCTGTGTATTTAACTTCCACGTACACCGTGATACGTCTGTGACTATTGCAGTTTACTTCTATTAGCACAATAATTTTTCTCATCAACCACATAAACTAACCTTTCAGAAAAGTTTGCTCAGGTTTTTAATTAAAATTAAAATTCTTAGAATTAAAATAAAAAAATTCCCACCAACCTTATGCTTTAAAGATCTTATGCTGCTGTCTGCACAAATACCGTCCCTCTACTAACCAAAACAATTATCCAACAGTACCAGAGACAGGCACAACATGCCATTCTGAAATCCCTTTAAAGCCTTTTCTAGAAGTAAGTCTCAACACTAGGCAGCCGTCTTCCCTCTAGGCACATATTTGGGGAGTCATTTTAAATCGTTATCTAAATAAAACAATGGTCACCAGGGCATAAAATTATCTACTGTATAGATTAACCAGACAAATTGGATTATAGGATGAGTTTGCTAACTTTGTGTCCAAATAGGTTTTTTAGAAAGCTAGTTAGTTTCTCTGCTTGCTCTTAATGTCCAGGTTCAAAACATGCATCCATCCATTCTCTTCCACTTATTCAGTTTAGGGTTGTAGGGGCTGGAGCCTATCCTATCATAGTGTGCCAATCTGTCGCAGGGCTAACATACAGACAGTCAGCCTTTTATAATGTGCCTGGCTCACAGACACAATGAAACATGGACATAGGACTATAATATCAGTGGGAAAACTGTTCTGTCTTAACTTCTCTAAACACTTTCCTGTTTATGAGTTTATGAGCTAAGTGACTCATTTTTAGTCTTACTGAATAAAAATTAAGTCTACTTTGTAAATCTTGTTCATAATACTTGTCGCATCTGTTTTTTTAAACTACCAAAGATGCCAGCACTACCAAAATGCTCTGAAATACAGTGGGGCAAAAAAGTATTTAGTCAGCCACCGATTGTGCAAGTTCCCCCACTTAAAATGATGACAGAGGTCAGTAATTTGCACCAGAGGTACACTTCAACTGTGAGAGACAGAATGTGAAAAAAAAAATCCATGAATCCACATGGTAGGATTTGTAAAGAATTTATTCGTAAATCAGGGTGGAAAATAAGTATTTGGTCAATAACAAAAATACAACTCAATACTGTGTAACATAACCTTTGTTGGCAATAACAGAGGTCAAACGTTTACTATAGGTCTTTACCGGGTTTGCACACACAGTAGCTGGTATTTTGGCCCATTCCTCCATGCAGATCTTCTCGAGAGCAGTGATGTTTTGGGGCTGTCGCCGAGCAACACGGACTTTCAACTCCCGCCACAGATTTTCTATGGGGTTGAGGTCTGGAGACTGGCTAGGCCACTCCAGGACTTTCAAATGCTTCTTACGGAGCCACTCCTTTGTTGCCCGGGCGGTGTGTTTTGGATCATTGTCATGTTGGAAGGCCCAGCCTCGTTTCATCTTCAAAGTTCTCACTGATGGAAGGAGGTTTTGGCTCAAAATCTCACGATACATGGCCCCATTCATTCTGTCCTTAACACGGATCAGTCGTCCTGTCCCCTTGGCAGAAAAACAGCCCCATAGCATGATGTTTCCACCCTCTTGCTTCACAGTAGGTATGGTGTTCTTGGGATGCAACTCAGTATTCTTCTTCCTCCAAACACGACGAGTTGAGTTTATACCAAAAAGTTCTACTTTGGTTTCATCTGACCACATGACATTCTCCCAATCCTCTGCTGTATCATCCATGTGCTCTCTGGCAAACTTCAGACGGGCCTGGACATGCACTGGCTTCAGCAGCGGAACACGTCTGGCACTGCGGGATTTGATTCCCTGCCGTTGTAGTGTGTTACTGATGGTGACCTTTGTTACTTTGGTCCCAGCTCTCTGCAGGTCATTCACCAGGTCCCCCCGTGTGGTTCTGGGATCTTTGCTCACCGTTCTCATGATCATTTTGACCCCACGGGATGAGATCTTGCGTGGAGCCCCAGATCGAGGGAGATTATCAGTGGTCTTGTATGTCTTCCATTTTCTGATGATTGCTCCCACAGTTGATTTTTTCACACCAAGCTGCTTGCCTATTGTAGATTCACTCTTCCCAGTCTGGTGCAGGTCTACAATACTTTTCCTGGTGTCCTTCGAAAGCTCTTTGGTCTTGGCCATGGCGGAGTTTGGAGTCTGACTGTTTGAGGCTGTGGACAGGTGTCTTTTATACAGATGATGAGTTCAAACAGGTGCCATTCATACAGGTAACGAGTGGGGGACAGAAAAGCTTCTTACAGAAGACGTTACAGGTCTGTGAGAGCCAGAGATTTTCCTTGTTTGAGGTGACCAAATACTTATTTTCCACCCTAATTTACGAATAAATTCTTTACAAATCCTACCATGTGGATTCATGGATTTTTTTTTTCACATTCTGTCTCTCACAGTTGAAGTGTACCTCTGGTGCAAATTACTGACCTCTGTCATCATTTTAAGTGGGGGAACTTGCACAATCGGTGGCTGACTAAATACTTTTTTGCCCCACTGTATGCCCAACATTGGACATTTAAATTATTAATGACAAAAATAGTTCCTGAACAGGACGGAACAGCAAATGTTAGGATCCCTGAACTGAATTTAAGCGTGTTTTCACATCTTCAGGGTTTAGTTAATTTAAATTAGACAGACTGAACACTCTGTTTCATGTTCCCTCTTGGTGCGATCACACTCGGGTGCAGATCAAAACAACCACATGAGACCCTTTGGAGAAGGCGGTCTTGGTGTGGTTCTAAACAAACTCCAGAACGGTTCGTTTATGGTGTGAACGTGATCAGACCTCCACCCAACCCAAGTACCAGGAGTACGTAGGGATATGTCAAGGTACTGCAGATGTGTAAGGGGCTGTACGGCTAACAATTAGTAGCTAAATGAACATAGGACATTCTTCTTGTATATACTTTTGTTGCTCCACCCCAGACCCATGTGACCAATAAGCAGATTGAATACTTTCACATGGTTTGCTTGGAGTTGACTTGGATTTTTTTGTGTGTGAAAACAAACTACAAGCTACAAGCTTACAAACCCATCAACTGATTTGGACCAGAGTAAATGAGCTATAGGTGTGAAAACACCCTAAAACACTCCTCGTTTCCTTCACCTTCAACCAGAAACAGCAGATTGTCCCTCCCTGGTTCTGCTCCAGATATCTTCCTGTTAAAAGGGGTTCTTCCTTCCCACTGTCACCTAGTGCTTCCCCACAGTGATTGTTGGGATATTCTTTTCTAATAATGCTGGGTCTTTACCTTACAATATAAAGTGCCTCGAGGTGACTGTTGTTCTGAGTTGGATAGTTTGCCACTATCCATTTTTTTCCTCACGAGAGCCTACATTTAGAAAATGTTATGGGCTATTTAATCTTTGGTAATACATCCCTCCATAAACAAGCCTCATGCAGATTACTAAGCGACTCTCTGGCCAGCACGTAAGTTGACATAGCAACCAGTAAACCCTGGCATGCTTCATGAGAAATGTGTTGCAGCTATGTGTGACAGTGAGGCTGAAAATACTCGCTCCATCTCTACCAAAAAAACCCACAGTTGCTGCGTGTGAGTGTGTAAATGGCAAACTTTTCATCAATCAGTAAACCAATTACGCATAAAAGGTCACATCATGGTTTCAACAACGGTACACAGCTCAGTGTGGATCAGCGTTCATAGTGCTGCATTGCAGATATAAAGTCATAACTGCTGTTTACCTGAGCTTCCTGAATCTACTGAACAGAGAGAATCTCGCCCAGGTGTGCACAGCATCGTGCAGGTACTTTAATAGGAAGTGATACCGTTTCACTGTAGTACAAATGTGTCATCATTACAAAACACCAGAGTGCCTACACCCATCCACACCTCCGGTTTTGAAGGCTTCAGCTTTCACTCAATCAATCGACCAGCTGTCCAGCATCTCACCTGCACACTGCGCTGTGTGTGTGTGTTTGTGTAAAAAGCACAGGAGTTTGTGCCTCTGATAGAAACCTAAATTACATACCTCCTCCTCGCAGCACCTCCGTATAAACATATGCAGGCACAATATCTTCATCAGGATAATAACTATGACAAAAGGTTTTATTCTGCATCTTCCCTCGCTTGCACTCGTGAACGCGCACACACACACACACACACTGCAGAGGAGCTAACGAGCTGTGCTTTTCTGCTGAGTTTGACACGTTAAGAAAGGAAGGGAATTAGACCAGCTGCTGAGTGTGTACTTGACTACTTGTGTGGGTGTGTGTGTCTGTGCATCTTTGTGTGTTTCCTCACCAGCCGTGATCGTATCCTTCTCCTTAGCGTTTAGTTCCTCCACCTCTGCTCTCCTGCGCAGCTCAAACCTACGTGCGTGTCCTTCTCGGGGTTTCCACAGCTCTTGGAGCAACAGCGGCTTTTCATTGTCCCCCAGCGCTCGCAAGCATTCAGTCCGCCACCCTCCTCCTTCTCCCCCACCGATCACGCCCCCTCCCTCGAAACGTCCGATCACATCACACAGGACATAAGAGTGGGCAGCATCCTTGTTGAGCGAGTAGCGCTCGAGTGCCTCTTTCACAAGTTCCTGCGCGCTGGAGCGTGGCGTGGCCAGGACGCTCTTGTAGTTGGCACCGGCGCAGATTTCGTCTCCGAAAATCTTCAACACGCCGGGGGCCGAGCTCTGAGTGGAGAGTTCAGCCGGGTCGTCAGCCGGCCGCTCCGGAGGCTCAGTGGTCGAGCGCCGGTCCCCTCGGGTGTTTGTTCCAGTGTCTGTAGGAACACGGTCTCTGTAGCTTAACGTACGGTACAGGACCTGGCAAACACACAAAACCAGTGAATGTACTGCAGGGCCACCCAGTGACAGGCATTATGTACAGTTTCTTCTTAAAAGGATCTGCATGTTTATCCAAGCTATCAAAAAACACACGTGTATGACTTTGGCTTTATGTTATCTCAGGAATAAACATCCTCATCAGCACACTGGATGAAGATGTGCTCACCACACGTTTTTAAGGCAGGCAGTGTGACTTGTCATAGCAAGAGAAGCACAGGTGACACAGTGACTTTGGCTCAGGTCCATCAAGCGCCCCGCCAAGTCACGACAGTGAGCCAGCATGCACAGTCACAAAATAAAGCACACCCATTTTTAATGGAGAGCTGAAATATCTCCTAATACAAAATAATAAAGATATTTAAGTAGTCAACTGTGCTGCATAAAGTCTCTGTAGTTGTTTATTTTACATGTGCTAAAAGTTTATGCAGTGTATTTCTTCCATGTTGGTCAGAATTTCTAGACATTTCTCGGTTATATAGTACAAAGCAGAGACTGATGAAGCAGAGAAAACCAGGCTGTATTTACAGATTTGGGGGTTGCCCTCTACAAGGTCGTCCTCTCATTAACATTTATGGTGCTCTTAGATTTTGCTCTCCATTCAAAGCTTCATTTTTATCCCTTGCACGTTTGCGACTTCACCACCAAGATCCTTTAAACCTTAAACTTTGCACTTGTCCTTAAAGTGCAGCTGTACACCAGCACCTAAAGAACAGAGGACCCTTCTTCGAGAATGCCACTGTTCACCTTTTGGACCGAAAAGACAGATGGTTTTGAAAGAGGAGTAAAGGAGTCCAGCTATGTCCACTGTGAACGACCATCACTGAGCAGAGGTGGTGGCCCAAAACGCCAGCTATCAGCCCCCTGCGATGTAGTCTTGAAATACCATCCCAGGTGACCTCAATAGGTCACATGATGGGTTGGCGACAAGGTCTCACAATGGTTTTAGCCTTAACCTCCAGTGATGGTAATGAACCAGGCCTTTTTTAGCACCTCACCCGATATGATGGTGTACATGATAAACAGAAGGCCAGCCGCCTTCTTTTTTAACCTTTTAAAGCCAACTGAATCATATTTGATGCATGTATTTTTTTAGACCTCTAAGCAAAGTGAAATTCACGATGAAGAGTTTTCACACATCGGAGGAGAATGCAGCTGGGATATAAGCTAAACTGACACTAAGTGTTCACAATACATCAAATAAGCAACCACTATTATTTCACTTTATTTGTTTTAATCAGTTATTTTGACCTCCGTTTTGAAGCTTTCTTCTGTGAGTATGTTTGTAAATGCCGAGTGTTTGTGTGTGAGTACCTGTGTGAAGGTCCTGCTCTGACGTTTCAAGCGGCTCTTGGACGGCAGGGACATACTCGCCCCAGAAGAAGAACCGTAGAACATGATGCTGCGGTTTGCTTCACAGACTCCACAACTGGTGAGTAAGAACACACACTTTTAGATGCTTTGTTCCTAATTTGATGCACAGGAATTAGATGTTTGACGTTGGGATGCACCGATCCGATATTTGGATCGAATATCCAGCCGATCTTGACTCAAAAACCTGGACTAGATATCAGTTCACTGGCCCGTTCTAAGGAGCCAGTCTATTCTTTTTAATTCTATCCTGGAACGAGTCAGCAGTAGTGCATCAATTTAAAGTCATTTCAAAGTTTTCTTTGCATGTTTGCTACAGTTTCTGACTTTAGCAAACTGTGGTCATGTGACTTATGAAAAGCCTCAGACATGAAGATTTCCCAGTAAACTTCTCACTCTCATTAAGTGCAGTTTAACTCTTGCTGTGAAACTTGTATTGCACTTACAGTCAACATGACATATTGCTGTCAACTTGATTGCTATTGTTCCACTTCACCTGACACCAACCAGCTCCACACACACTTGTGAAGGAGATGCAGTCACAGTGAGACTGGGAGCAGGAAAAGCAGAAACTAGAGTAACCATAAATAACACCAGTACACAGTAAAGACTCTCACACTGAGCTACTAGTGCAAATAATAAAACCCTTTTTTTTTATTCTTCATTTTATTAACTTCTTAAAACTGTTTGAGCTTGAGGTTGCCTACATTTAAAAGAATGGCTCCCGGTGTCTTCCTCACAGTGAGGAACACAGCTTATTAATCTAACACTGGTACTAAATTAGATCTGTATCTGTAGCAACTGTATCCGAAGATACCAGAAGGGAAGATAACAATATAATATCTGAAATGGAAATAGCTGGATCAGTGCATGCCTAATTTCCAAATTAAATGCACACAAATATGAGAAAAACATGCAATAACACTCGACATACAACTACATCAAACACATAATAGCTGTAGCTGGTGACGATAAAGAAAATCTAAATGTATCCACTGTAAACAGACCATGAAGACAAAAACAAACACAAAACTCTCTCTCTGTGTGTGTGTGTGTGTGTGTGTGTGTGTGTGTGTGTGTGTGTGTGGTGAGTACCTTGATGCAGATAGTATTTTTGCCTCTATGTGCAGCAGCACAGTGTGTACAGCTGATTGTCATATGCTCTGCAATTCATTTCACTGTCACCTTTCACGCTGGAAAAATAAAACAGATGATGTTCAGGTCAAAGCTGAAGGATCCCATTCATCATTAACAGCCCGTCTACGTCCTCTGGGATTAAATAATACCGTCTGCTTTTAGCTTTTTAATAATTTCATTGAAAGCACTAAGCTGTTTTCACGTCAGACTCTTGACTATGGCTTTGTTGAAAAAAAAAAAAAAAGGCCGACCAGGACTCTGGCTCTGTGCTGAAGGGGAACACTGAATACTGCAATGAAACTGCCTTTTTGAAAATCAAGCAGTGTCTGCAGTGGTTGTTATGTTTAACAAAATAAACGAATAAACACTTAATAGATTATTTTTGTGTAGATTATATAGTGTGCACAGCAAACAGACCCATATGGCACACAGAGTTTTCTCTCTGCAACTACTTGTTTTTTTAGTATATTAGAATAATGCTTTTTTGTGCATTTAATTTTTTTTAAATAAAACTAAATAAACTAACTAAATAAAACAATCACAGAACATAAATGACCTAAGGCTGACTACTTGGAAGCACATTTATTAATTTATTTATTTTTAATTTACAAAGAACAGAGTAAAGCAGCAAATCACCACATTGAAAGCCTAAAACCAGCACTTAAAAACACTGCTAAATTATTCAAATGGATTTTCTTTATTTTTATATTTAATTTGTATATATACAGTATTGTGCAAAAATCTTGAGCCAACCCTCTTTTGTTTATATTTTGCAGTTTTTCTTAAAAGTGGTCTTAATTGATGCAATTATGAAAACAGAAAAGTACCATCAGATTTTGATCCATCATGTAATACCATGACAATGATCCCAAACACACCATCAGTGCAGTAAAGTCATACTTGGATAGAAAAACACACAGTGGAACACTTTCAGTCATGGATTGGCCTCCCCAGAACCCGGACCTCAACATTATTGAAGCAGTGTGGGGATCATCTTGACAGAAAACAGAACAAAAAGCAGCCGACCTCCAAAGAAGAGCTTTGAATGTCGTTCAGGAAGCCTGGAGAAATATTGCTGAAGAAGAAATGACAAGAAAGCTTAACTAAGAGAGTTCAGGTTGTGTGACGAATAAAGGTGATCATACCAAATATTGACTTTAAAGCTGGGTGTTTTTGCTTCACTAACTGTATTTCCACGTTTGTTCAACACGTTTCAGTAAATCGTTGCACCTTTCCAAGCCAAATATAAAGAAATGAGCGGTGGCTCAGGACCTTCACCTCAGGACCCCTACCCTACCAACCAACCAAACAACCAAATCTTTTTAAAATACCCTACATCCTAAAAAGTCTGTTTCCCATCTATGCCCCTAAGGTGGGTCAGCTTCATTCGTACCTTTGCATGAACTCCTTTGACCGCTAGACCTGTAGTGAGGGGTCTCATCAGGAATCAGCTGCATCAGGTGAAAGCAGAACCTCATCCAACCCGTTTTAACTGCATCCCATTTACAACCCTAAGTTCCTTTACTGCAGAAACATTTGGCAGGCAACCTAAAAGGTGTTGTTGTAGCTGACTGTGCAGGGACTGGTGGGATAACGTGACTATTTTAAATGCCAGCTAATCCATGGTAATCTGGCTACTTGGCTGCAGTTAACTCAATCCTACACGCAGAAAGAAACACACACAGAGGGAGGGGATACCTTTTCGCACTGGTAAATTGGGTTGCGTTTAGTAACCCAGGAGGTCGTGTTACATTTAGTAACCATGTCACACAGACTTGTGGTTGTCCTTGTCTTTACCAGCAGAAGGTCAGATTTAAGCAGTGCGCTAAGGAAAAAGCCCACGCCTACATCATAATATAGGACTAAACTTGTGACAGCCCGTTATTTACAGCCGGTCCGTCTGTTTACGACTTTGGATTCACTGGTCGTCAGTAGCAACCGCCGTGGCAACAAAAGGCAGGAGAAGATCCTCAGAAATTAATCCGCTGATGAGCCGTCAGGCGCGGCGCGGAAAACTCACAGCAGCCGATCTCTGACGGCAGCAGGTGCGTCTGTGTTACTGCGCGAGGTCGTTACACACAATTAATTATCAATTTATCTCAATGTTGTTTGGACATCTGCGCAACGCTCAACAAAGAGAGAGAGAAAGAAAACCTGTTTTTTACATATCGGGGAGCAGAAAGCAGCGACGCGTCTGCCTGTCAATAAAATAGGTCGCGGAAAAGTTGATGAGTGGTTCCAGCAGAGGCGAGCCCAGTCCCCCGGGGGCTCTGCCGGTGTCTGTGCGTTTGTACTCACGCTGTCTGCAGTGCGTGGCTCCATAGTGCTGGGGAATCCTTCCTGGTGTCTCTCTTATTCCCCTACCGTGCAGAAAAATCACAGGCTCTATAAATGGGGGGGGGGGGGGGGGAACACCCAGCTCCCCTGCTCCGAGCGACACCCAGCCGTCCGGGGGTCCCACCCACATCCCCAAAACAGCCCGTTAACTTGGACGACAGCCAGCCGCTGTGGGCTCCTGCTCCCGTGCGTACATCTCCGCCGAGTGTCCAGCAATGCCCACAGCCTCCGGCAACCGCATTCCCACATCCACAGCGGTTCACTGCCGAGCCGTGACGGAAACAGCCGAGCCACACGCGATGCTTCACCTCGCTACACCTGCTCTGGCACCAGAGCGTGTAGAGGCGACTCCCCCTGGCGGACAGAGGCGGCACTAGCACGAACTACAACGGTAGATCCGAAGGAAACAACGTGGTCTTTTAACGCGTGGTTTTATATATTCCACTTAAAAAATAAAATAGGGTAATCGTCTTGATAATAGATCTGCAGTCGTGGAAAGTATTGCACCCTATATATAATATATAATAGAAATGATCGAATCCTTACTAAAATCCTTACCTTAAAATGACTTATACAACCCCAGATGAACATCAACATGAGATACTGCACAGTGTCATGATTTATTTACAAAATAAACACAAAAGCCAAAATTCTTGCTGTGGAATGATGGACTTCCCAGAGCAGTTCTTTCCTCTTAAGATTATCACTAATGTCTGTCCTTTCTGGCAGAGTAAGAGAACCCCTACTTTCATAGAGATGCTCACACTTGCTGGTGTTCAGTTAAGTACAGGGGTGGGCTTAAAAATTACCCCATTAGAAAACTGGGACTGCTGTGGGGGGCCACACCACACCAATAAGATTATAAAGAGATAAAATTATTATTGAGCAGAATAGAGTTCAGCCTATTGGTGCATTTGATTAGCGGCACCTGCCCCCACTTACCCTCTTAATTCATGTAGCCGCAGTATGGGTGCACTTACTTTTTCACACTCTTCTGCATAGTGTTGTAAATATTTTATTTTCTTATTGGATTTACCTAGTTTTAAGACCTTCTGTGGACCAGATTGTTTTTTATTATGTATCAACATGTAAAACCTCATAATTTCTGTACTTTGTTTTTTATTGTGACTGTATGTTTACCTTCTTTTTTCCCCCTTCTTCTGGTGTCTCATTTCCTCTCCTCATATGAGGCTAATTATATAAAATAAGTCTGCCTCAATTTATTTCAGTCTCCTTGAGAATGACTCTTGATTGAATTAAAGTGGTATGAAACAAGATCAAAGGACAGACTGGTCGCTATAATGTAGTTTAGATACATCTGGAGCTCATTTTGTAATATGTTTTTGGTGTAACAAAACTACTTGTGAAAATAACCTTTTTTTCTTACATGAGCTACAAAAAAGGTGAAACACTATAAAAAACGACATAAAAATGCATGAAAAAAGCTTTTTTATTACAAGAGAAATAGAAAAGATAAAAGCATTGTTGGCATCATATCGGCTTATCACAGCACAAAAAGCACCACAGACACAATAACCAATATGAAAACTAGAATAAGGGTGAGATAATATAATCAGTCCTGTAGGACGAGAAAGGAAACACCAGCAGGACTGAGAACAGAGTCAGCAGCTCCACAATCACAGAGCGTCTATAAATAATATACAGAGGGTCCACGAGGCTTCGCGGACGCTGTTATAAAGATCTTTACAAAGGCAGGTGGGGTGTATGTCTGAATGAGACACATACTGTAATCAAGACAAGACACACATCAAATCCTTTACTTTATCTCACCGCAGCCAGACCTGGCTTGGATACAAGACAAACTGTAAACTCTCTCAGTTGTTTGGTTCATCCCAGAGACTCGAGTAAACACTGAGAGCACGAATACTCCAGAGTAACTCTGTTTCAGTTTTAAATAAGATATCCACCGTGCGACAAACGCACTCCCCTTCATGCTAGGGTCTCAAATGTACAAAATGATAAAGTATTGTGTCACCCTCAGACTATTTTATCACTTTTATTCAAGGTTTGGTGTCATCGTGTTGTTTTTGGACCCTTCAGTATAGAATGAAGAATGATTATTAGATGTCTTGAGGCAACAGTGGCTACACAAACAAGGTGATATTATAAAATAACTTGTTTTCAGTCCAGTTTTGTGCTGGTTGTCAGTTTTTGTCCACTAGTTAGAGGCTTATCCTTAAAACACGTTGAGCGATAGAGGAAAAACTGAGCTGCGGTTTGGATCTGAATCCAGGTTTGTGTGTCGACCTCAACATTTAAAGGTAACGCTCACCTTATGCGTTACCTCATGACCTACTACACTTGCACGGGCAAATAAACAGCATTTCATAAGTGCTCATCACAGTGATGGATTTAACTCCAAATGCAAACTTTTGCAGAGTTTTGCAGCAAATTTAGGGGGTTGTGCAGCGTCGCTTAAAGTGTTATTGAAGTACAAACGACCTCCCCTCTGCCCTTAATGACCAGTTTTCACACCTTCTGACGACTACTAGCCCTGTAATGCTAAGTGTGTCATATCTAATACATCAGCTGTTGTGAGATTTTTTTAGTCAGTGTCAGTGTTTCTGCTTTTTGTTTTGTTTTTTTTGACAAATGATACAAATTAAAACTTTTGTCAGATTGTTCAATAAACTCTACTTTTTCAAAAAATTAAAAATTTCTGGCATTTATTTCATAGTTCAAACAGGCAGTTTCCAGGTTTTCCCAGGTAGCTACACAGGCAGATACGACCTGACTTCTGATGTACGCCCAGTCATTTTGTTCTATAAGCAGCCCTGAAACATGACAGAAAAGAGCTTTAAGGGTTACTGCTAGCGGGCTTTCAAGGGGTAAAGAGTCCAGGTGTAAAGATTTGAAATCTTTTCTATCCATTATGTAAATCCATATATGTAAAACTTGCAGAAAACTTCTGGGGCAGCTGTGAGTGAGCAGGTGAAGCTGTATGGGGAGGTGCCAGCATATAAATAAATAAATAAATAAATAAAATGCATTTATTTGCTTAGAGCTGCAAACAACCATAGCAGCTGCAGTGGTCCTTTTTAATGTGGCTTCCTTGGACTTTTAAGCCCAGATGATCCGACATACTGCAGTGAAACTATAATGAAAAAGTTTTTTTTGACAACCCTTAAATACCAGCTGCTTCGACCTTTTAAAATCCTCTCGCCACATTAATCACACTCTGCTTCGTCCTTTAAACCACGAAGCAGCACGTACAACTCGACGCTAAGAATACATACATGTTTCAGATATATTTTGATGTGTTCAAGGTACATGCATTCATGTGTAAACATAGACTCAGCCAGTTAGAGGCTTTGGATTCATGGTAGTCAGATAGTATAGGATACACACAGGCACAAACACTTGGGCAAACACACACACGCGAGCACACGCGCGCGAGCACACACACACACACACGCACCTGAGATGCCTTTATTATCGGGCCAGATTGTTCAACAATACTATAGCTTCAGTTTCCTTTCAAGTGTGAAACATACATATATGGTAGTAGTGTGCTATCGGTTAACGGCAGTAAGTCTTCTGGCAGTGCTGAATCAGACAGTGGTTTGAGCTCCAACCATGTTGTAGCTATCAGCTGTTTTCCATTCGTTTAGGATGAAGACTGAGAAGATGATCGAGTAACACAACGAGAAGATCAGAAGAAAATATAGATGAAGTCGGCATGTACTGTATGTCTCTGATAAATACTGTATCTTCACGTACTAAACCTAATCGACAACAGTATTAGAATTCAGTGTTTATGCTCAAAAATCGAAAGTGTGGCGACTGGTATATGTGGAAGCACACGAGTAAAAGTCTCCAAGACTAAAACTACAAATATCTGAGTGTTAAACTTAAGAAAAAGAAAAAAACCTCTACGATCATGTTTAAAAAACTTCACAGGAAGTCACCGACTTAAGCAGCTATTGTTAAAATCATACAGAGTACTATGGTGTAGATAGCACATCTAATAACAATAGCAGTAATAATACTATCTAGAGCTCTGAATTGGGAATAGTAAATTACTGATGTTGCAGCCTGCTTAGTGTAATCAAACTAAAAACACTAAAATTAATCTCATGAGTCGAGTCTGCCAATTTTAATAGTGATCTTCCTCTTGACAAATAGACAATGCCCTCAATTCCGCTTCTGCACACTAAATCTGGGCGCGCACGGCACAGAGAGAAATCTCCGAGAATAGTGATTAACCCCTGAAACCAAAGTCCTGGAAAATACTGTTAGAAGTGTAAAACTAAAATGATCTTGGGGAGGGGGGGGTCCCAGTTCAGGAGCTGCCAGCCTTGAAGTTCAGATTCACCATATTTATCCTTCATGTATACCAAACGTGATAATTAACCCTAAATGGTGCATTTGATTGCCCTCTCAGCTCAGAACGTCAGGAGGTATTGCATCACTGGAGGTAACTGGATTCAGTTGGTCATCGGTTAGTAAGAATTAAATTAAAAGTGTTGATTAACTTCCTGTCTAAAATTCAGACGGCAGAAGATCTGAATGAATAAAATACTGATACAGACACATGAGTTTTTTTCTGAGTTTTCCAAGAAGCGGGGAAGTGTTTCATGAATACTTTCCACCCTGGGCTTTGCCTCAGACTGAATCAAAGCTGTCACATTAAGGTCTCACATCTTTGACTCCATCAGTCATTATCTAGGCCAGCTGTACTTCCTGTCCCAGATTCAAAGCTAAACAAGGAGAAGTACCTGCAAAACAAAGCAAAATTGCAAGACCTGCATGAATTAACTGTTGTCTTAAAACAGGGCTTAAAGTATTTCTTTGTGTTTCACACTGTGCTGTATTCCATTACATTATTTTATGCTATTTCAGCACACTGATGTGATTTTATTTTATCCTCAAAGAAAAAGTAAAGTAGTTTAAATTGCTTTTTAAAGGTGCTATTTTTAGAAAAGTAGGAGTGTGAAGACGATGCAAAAGATTTAATTTGGATTTGGACCCGTTTTACCCATTCATTCACTGGCTGCTTGAAGGCAACTTTTTGGTGATAAACATGGAAATGTTAGACATTTCGAACTGATGAGAGGGACCTGAATGCACCATTAGTTTTGGTTTCTGTCACACTGAAAAGTGCATGTTTACCCCCCCACCCCCCATCCCCCCACCTTCAACATGAGGCAGCCCCTGAATGTGGACAGCCCCTCGTATCCGCTCAAAAACAGGAGTTACTTCCTGTGAGGTCAGTGCTGATGTCATCTGGAGGTGTGGACCTGGTGGTTGGGTGGCTGGGCGTAGAGGTACTTCCAGATGGCGTAGTAATGTATGGCCGCTCCCATAGCTACAAACATGTGCCAAATAGCGTGAGCGAATGGGACAATGCCGTCACTTTTGAAGAAGACTATCCCCAAACAGTAGCAGGCCCCGCCGACCAGCAGCTCACACAACCCGGACTGCTCCGGCTGAGAAGAGGCATTAAGTTTATTATTTTTAAACTGTTTAATGGGTCATTTTAAACCCAATCAAGCAGCAGAAAATGTGAGTGGCCTCACCATTGAGAGGATGACCAGGGCAGGAAAAACTCCCATCACTGTGTAGCAGATCAGCTCCATGAGCTTATACCTACGACAGCAATGGGTTACTGAGCACGGGTGTTACTGAGCGTAAAGTTAGGCGATCTTAATAACAGCTTGGAAAAAGCTTAATCAATTTTAAAAGAAGTTTAAATATTTGACATACTAAGAAAATAAATATGTGAGCAGACCTCTCATGGAAGAAGAAGACGTAGGTGGTTCCAAAAGACGCCATGACCCAAACTAACCAGCGCATGTGACACGCCCAGGGACCCAGCTCTCGCAGGTTTAGCCTGTTGAAAAAATCAATCAATCAATCAAAAAAAATGCCATCTACACATGCAGTTTTGAAAAAATATCTCTGTCCACATGTAAACGCTAAAAATAAAAGGGAGGGAAAGACTAAACAGGGTTTTGTACCCTTACAAAACCTTAAGTACTTCAGTAAAGTTTTTGTTTTGCTGGAAAAGCAGCTAATTTTGAAACGCCTTCAGCATTTCAGATGTTAATTATTAAAGACAGTATTTTGATTGGTATAGAATCACAACTTAGGAATGAACAAAATGCATATAGCGTACATAAATTAAAATTTTTCAAAAAAGTAAATTTATTCAAAACCGACGTTGGGATTTGGGTTGTGACAGCATCTGTGTTGAATGTAGAGGCGCCCGAGTGAACTTCGAACGCCTCTGTCGTTCTAAATGGAGGGACAATAATTGCTGTTTTACATGTGTATACTTAGATATACACACGTAAAACTGCCGTAAAACTGCAGATAGTCAGAGTAACAGCAATGGTAGTTTGTCTATATCCACTATTTTAGAAATTAATGTCATGTAAACAATAACGTGGCGCACAGCGTCACGTCAAAAAAGGCACATACCTTTGACAATGCATGACGAAATCTCATGGATTCATCTTCTAATTGCAGATCTTTTAAAATACAGCATGATGTTTATTTTTTAAACTATTATTCCAATCAGCTCATAAAACAGGATATGCTTTGGCTAACTTGTCACTGATAAGATCCTAAGTTTGCAGTGTTTTCAGCAGTTTTAATTTCGCTGACCAATAATTTTCACCACCAACCTTTTTTTTCTTATGGTAAATGGATCTTATATAGCGCTTTTCTACTCTTCTGAGCACTCAAAGCGCTTTACACAACTTGTGCATTCACCCATTCACACAAGCACATTGTTCTTAGTGCTTTCTAAGTAGCATTCACACACTCATACTCTGATGGATGGATCGGAGAGCAATTTGGGGTTAGTATCTTGCCCAAGGATATTTGGCATGCAGACTAGGGGAAGCCAGGAATCGAACCACCAACCTTCCGATCAGTAGATGACCTGCTCTACCGCCTGAGCTACAGCCACCCTTATAAAAACAAGATAATAACTAAACAAAACAGAAACACAAAACAGGACAAAAGCCAGGCTAAAACGTATTGACACTTTTGCCTCCAAATAAAAATGAGATGAAAATGAAAATCTTCTGATGACATGAAATCCAATCAGAACTAATGGACGCTTTGTAAACCGCGTAGAGCAGTTTTCACCGTTAACACCAATTTTAAGTCAGATCCACTTGCTTGTCACATTTGATTAAAAAGAAAAGAAGGGGGGGGGGGGGGGGGGGGGGGCGGAGAGATAATAATAATGTCATCTTTTATTTACAGTCTATGTAACTTAATCATGACTGACAACAGGAGGGTGCATAGGTTTTCTCACAACGGACCCAGACTGAGGATTAGTTTCCTTGCAGTTAGCTCAACAAACACTCTCTGAGTGCCAGTTATTGGAAACACTATTTGCTATCTGTAATATGTGCTGGAGGTGGTGGTTGTTGGGGGTTCTGTGTTATGTCTGTTGCTGTTATGTTGATTTTAATCATCTTTTGTGTGTTTATTCATATTCAGAGCCCCTTGTACCACAAGTGTTGAAATGAGCTATATAAATAAAATTTGAATAATGTACTTACTTATATATACAGTTTACACACACCCACACACGCCTAGCAGGCTAGTTTGTTTACCAAGGGGCGTAGGAAGCAGCGATGAAGAAATAGATCACCATCCTGTCACACATGTGAAAACACTGCTCCACAGACCTGAAGAGGGAGCAGAAACAGCTCAGAAACGACTCAGTGACACTGTTTAGATATGAAACATCATTATTAAAAATGATATATTTAAAATAATCCAATGCATCACAGATATTGTGCTACAATGTATATATGTGGGTGTGTGTATATAAGTATATACCGTAAGTGGCTCTTCTTCCAGGCCACAGTGTGGAAGAGGGTGGAGATGATGAAGAGTGAGCTGAGCCCCGCCCCATACACCCAGGCTGACAGCCGCTCCCATTGGTCCTCTGACTGGAAGTGCAACACTGAGCTTCCCAGCAGGCTGGGGATTATCCACAACTAAATGAATTCATAGCATAAATGAAACATGAGGCACAAAGAGGCAGGCAGGCAGGACTGACTGTAAACACGAGCATGATGCTGCTGATGTTATGTAATGATGATTTTTCTTATTTTCACTGGGTTTAATGATCACTTTCTGTGTGTGTGTGTGTGTGTGTGTGTGTGTGTGTGTGTGTGTGTGTGTGTGTGTGCATTTACCGCATGCGTGGCACAATTGGCAGCATGCTCATATTCGGTGGGCTGGTATCTCTTGTTAGGAGGAACACGATTGTTCATATACCTGCAAATGATCACATTTATTAACAATTTTACTGTGCAATACTTAGCTGAAATTCATATAATAGTGTAATAACTAGGGTGGTAATGATGTGGTGATAATTCCAGTTAGTGACAACACAGTAAAATTTTGTTAACAGTTTGATAACCTGTGTGTATTAAAATGATAATTTCCCATTGCTCATCAATAGGCTATTGTATATTATCTTCTAATTATATTCATGAAGGTTAGTATTATGTGGTTATTATCTCCTTTTTCACACAGCAAGGTAGTTTGCTCCCAGTTATTACTCTTTTTAAATTCCACTGGCCTTCTGGGACCTGTCCAGTCTGGATTTAAAGCCAGGTATTAAAGTTATGGCTTTGAAACAATTTAATTCCCATCTTAAACACAGAGCCTTCCTTTCCTGTCTCCTGAGTTCACTCCTATTTTTTACGGAGTCCCCCAAGTGTCTGTTTTGGGTTCACTTTTCCTGGCTCTATAACTCCTCTTCTTGAATCCTTAATGGAAATCAAGAGCCAATTCATTCATTCTTAGTTCCTATAAATTGGGAGGTTCTTTTTCTCTTCCTTATAAACTGTGTCCCCTCTCTCTCTGTGTTAAGTCTCATGTGAAGAATCTGGATCCTGAGCTACATTTTAACAAACAAATTGTCATCTGTTGTCAAAACAGAGCTTTATCGTCAAATATTTCAAATATTTTCTATTTAATCCTTACACAGAAAAAGTAATTCGAGCCTGTTGCCTGTTGTTATAATTTGCTGTATTGTGGTCTCCTTTAGAAGTTTCTATCTTGCCTCCAGTTACTTCAAAATGCTGCATCTAGACTTAACTGGTGCTAAGAAATTAGATCATATCATTCCCATAATGGCTTCACTACATTTTGTCCCTTTCCATTTAAGAATTAAATTCAAGATGTATAAATAGTTTTTAAAGCTCTCACTGGTCAGGCACTCACCTATATGATTTCTCTTATTCACCTTCACACAATCCCTCTTTTCTTAGATATAGTGACAAGCTCTGACTTCGTGTTCTCTGTTCTGGGCTCAAACAGATGGAAGGACTTTCTCAGTTGCATCCATCATCGTGGAACCAGCTTCCTGTGTTCATTGCAAGTGCTCCAATTATTGCTGTCTTTAAATCTGAAAACATAGCTGTATTTCATGGTATTCTTGGGTTCATAATCTGAAACTGGTGGTGGTTATTTTGTATTGCGGGCACATTTAAATTTGTGATCTTGTACTATTATTTTTGAAGTTTTTATTGTTTTGTGCAGCTCTTTGGACAGTTTTTTTAACTGTGCGTTACAAATTTTTGATTATTACACCACTATTATCATGTTATTACTGAGCTGTACTATAAAGTGCTACCTTTCTTTTTATTACAGGCAGCAGCATTTATGCAAATGACACATTTCACATTTGCTCACATTTAAATGCTTCATCATCTTAACATCTACACTTAAAAATACATACAAACTGGGTCGCTCATTAACCGAAGCCAAAGGTCTCTATCATACAAATGGATCTGTTCAGACTTAGTGGTCATTTATGCAAATATGCAAAATTTGAATTTTAAGCAATATTGCTGTTTTGTAATTATTTACTCATTAACTTTACTCTTTCCTTTATAAGTAAATATAACAGAAACAGTACATGTAATTTGGCATTAAAAAAATTTCACACACACACTCCAAAAAATTCTCAGTCTGAATTTATGGCAATATTTAATGAAATATGTATTCTATAGAAATGGGTATTTCAGTTTAAGCTGTTAGGTGTTGTTTTGAAATATACCTCGGATGTTACTGGGGTTTATGGAGCACATGTTGCTTGCTTAAAGGTCAGTTTAAAAAAATAAAATAAAATTGGACTCTTTGCATAATCCATATTTCAATATGTTCCTTCTTTCCTTACACTTAACTCATCCTTTGACTGAAACAAGCTGTTCTCGCTTTACGCCAACTGTTTTCTAATAGACTGCTCCTCACAAGGTTTGAACAACAGGTGGGCGGGGCTTTGAGTCTAACAGCCAAGCCTGGGAGTGCGTCAGGATGATCAAATTAGGTTATCTACTCTCACTGACATGATACAGAATCAAGGGTAAAAAAAAGTCAGTCTGAAGCCTGAGCTATTGGCCAACATTTGTTGTACATACACTAATGTAATTATTTGAGGCTTTGTCCATGTTTGTAATGAGCATCTGGCATTGCAACAGAATTTATATAACAAGAGTAATGGGTCCACTTTAATAGGACTTTGTAGAATTAAGCTGCAGACCATATTTACTGTGTATGATATTTAAACCCACTTGTATCTCAATGCTAACAATCCACCCCACCCTCTTGTTTCGCTTAGCAACGCTACTACATGCTTCAACTTGTTGCCATGACTGCCGTTGCCTGGCAACAGTGGGTAACCACAGAGCGACTGAAGCAGAGGTTTGATCTCTTTCAGAAACGGCTCACACATACAGCCATGCCCACATTTTCTCACATACACACGCACACTCCGATCTGTTCGTTTGATTGCGAACACTCAGTACAGAAACTCAAACAGTTCAGGAGGTAGCACCCTGACAGTGATGTCACTGTTGTCATGGAAACCACAGGCAGGGATTGTCCTCCCCTCTTCCCTACAACAGAAAACTCCTCGCTGCTTTCATCTTTCTTTCTTCGCCTCTCGTTCCTCCTCCCTCTCCCGTTCCCCCACCATGGCTCCTCTCTGCTTCCCAATGATGAAATTAACATGCAGGGAAGGCAAATGATGTCTTTGCAGACACACAAAATGTAAGCATGTGCACATCCACATGTTGTAAGTCGTAAGACATGAAAAAGAAGGAAAGGGAATACCGCTCAGAACCTCAAAGAATCCATTTGTTTTTATGAAATGCCCCCAACAGCTAATTATGCTGTCTATCTGAGGAGCTGTGCATGCATGCGGCTGCAGAAACAATACTTCTAAATAATCTAAAAAGAGGAATATCACAGCTGTGGGTATATGCGTGGTTGTTGTCAAAATGCTGATAAGACATTCATGATCCTTCATGAACATATATACACAAGGAGAACTAAAGAAAGATGATGTAAAAAGGATGGCAGCACCTTTCACTTCCCTTTCTCCTCCATTTGCTGCTTTGTTTTTCAGAGTGACACTCATTAGGAGCTATTAATACTAACCGGCCCAGCCCAGAAACACCGTCTTGTCCCAAATAAAAGACTTCCCCACCCTGTATCCAACACTGGCCTCACACTGTCTGGCTTACTCTCTGTAGTGCGCACACATACAAGTGTGTGTCAGTGCCAGGCCCAGCAGGCCTGGTCAGGTCATTAATGACTTTATCAAGCTGGCTGATAATTAGCAGGCCAGAGGTCAGGCAGAGGGACTCACTCATGGGGCAGAGCAGAGCTGTGGAAACCCCGTGACATCTCTGCGTCTCTGTGGTCTAAATGAACCATGAAGACCTCGGTCCAGTTAACACAGGACATGAATTAACACTGCTTTACTTCATGGGTCTTTGTGCTATTATGTAAATCTATAATAAAGTTAACATCCACACACTGCTGAAAACAGTTGCCATATAACTGTTTTTCTTTGTTATAGCACTGTAAATCAAACAGGTCTTGGATTAAATTAGACAGTATATAGATTAAAGAACCACAATGGTGATTAAAATCTGATCATTTAAGCTATATATCCTAGTAAACCTAACTGCAAAAAGCTGGGAAAATCTGATCTATCAGCTATTTCAAAACTTTTGAGATTACCCCCCCGTCTTGTCACGCTAATACATCCAAAGGCCAAAAACATTTCTTTTTTAAACTGATACACAACATAGAGAAGCTGCAGTTAGTCACAGCTGTGAAGATAAACCACTGGAAATTTCATTCTGTTTTTTTTTTTGTTAAGGCTCCTCTGACGTCTTGATTGAATCATTTAATCGTTTTGGTGTTTTCTTAGAAAAAGCCAGCCCGGGTCCTGTGGCAGGAAGTTGTGACGGGTACATGTTCGACAGCGCTTGAATGAATAAATGAATCTAGAAATGTTACATAACAAAAGTAACCACCACACGCTTCCTTAAAGTGCCCCGCATTGTGAAACAGCTAAAAATATATTTAGCTGTGATGTACTCATAAAAGACAACTGACATCATATCTGATTAAAAGAAGCAGCATGATAATTTCGCCTCAGCCCATAATGTGGCACACATGACTTCATGTGTGAGCTGTGGGAATTACAGTCTCTGCTCGCGAGATGGAACAAATACTACTCCCACAATTGCCTCAGTTGGCCTATTTTTTGAAGCAAATAATAATAATAATAAAGTATCTCTCTATATATACCTATGACTCTATTTTGGAAGCATTTTTTTAACATCAATTCAGTTTGGTTGGGTTTGGAGCTAAAAACAAGACCACTAAACATATAACTCAGAGTGTGGAAGTTGTAATGGACAGCGAACAGAACAGATGATCAGCTGATTCATAGCATAAAAGCAGTCAGCAGATTAGCAGAGCATGAGCTGAGAATGAAAATAATTCTGAGTTGCAACATTGGTCTACTTCGTTTGTCCTCGGGACAGCCTCAGCCTAGATCCAGTTGGCTTCTGTGTGCCAGATATTAAATAAAGTTGAAAAGGCTGAGGAAGAGGAGGGGGTGGCCTTTCCTCTGTGTCACAAAGATCACAGGGAAAGAGGAAAAAGGAAGAAGTAGCAAGATGAAGAGAAGGGGGAAGTGGCAGGTTGTGTGTTTGCTTAAAATAAAATAAGAAATAAAAGAAATCCTGAGCTTGAATATAGAAATTTGAAAAAGATACATCACTAATTATGAGACATGCAGAAAATACATATGAGTTATTTACAGCTGGTTCCCAATGAGCATCCTGGACCTCATCATCATCATCACTACCAAAAAGCAGCCTTTCTGTTCATCTCCAGTCTCTAACCGTATATTGAATGAGCTCACCCACCTTACAAGATTCATTTACAGAGGAAATAGGCAACAGTTGACGGCAGACAGACAGTGTGGCCAAAGCCTGAATCCCCCCTGTGAGTGATGGGCGAGTTGGCCGCCGATAATTGATTAGTTCAGCGTTCAGATCTGCAGCGAGGAGGTTTAATGGAAGGTAACGAGCACGTCGCCTTTTCACCGTCGTCGTCTTATCCACATCTCAAGCAGCACTGGGAGACGCATGCATCCCGACCCAGCCGCCTCCAGAGGGTCCAGTCCGGAAGTGTGGGCGTCAGTGGGGGGACGAGGGGATGAGTCTCAGTCGGTGCTGATGCTTGCTCGCTCTTTCTCTCTCTCTGTCTTTCTCTCTCTCTCCCCGCCGGTTCACCTCATCACGACTCGGTGAGGGGGGCTGTTCTTCATCACTGAAGGCTGCCACATCATTCTGTGATGAGGGGCTGATTCAGAGGCAAGTCGTGCCTGCAGTTCCTGCTTTGGTCTCTAGGTGGAGGCGCAGGCGCGCTCTCAGGGACTGGTATTATGTAATAAGGCGACGACGTTAACGCATCTAATTATCGAGTCAGAGGAGGATTATTTAAAGCGACACTCAGCTACGGCTCCTAGTCTGCGCGGCGTTTTACCAGGTATGAACAATATAACCCCGTGACGTCACTGTGATGTCATCTGGCTGGGTCTTCAGTCTTCCTTGAGACACATAGAGACTTTTGCTGCTAATATGTGGACTGTCGCTTTTTAATAAAGAACCAGATATCTTGAATATACAAGATTGTAATTACTGAATCTGAATGTAATTATAAAAACATCTCATTTATGTAATTTTCTGTTTCTGCGGCGGAATTAATGAGATATGCTACAGGAACCAAGTGGGGCAGAAATAGCTCCTCACACTGACACGTTTTTCAGTTATCTATTTATTTACTGGCAGCCCCTTACATACATTACAGGTCAGAATATCTCCCCCTTTGATGCTTCAGTCTTGACTATTTTATCATTTCAAACCTGACCTTGGCAGGTCGCTTGAACTTAGGAAGAGGCAGGAGGTCTGATAGCTGATAGGTGTTCTCTGTTTTTGGCTTTTTTTTTAATTTACTCAGAGGGATACTTTTTGCTCCACCTGATCTATTGGAAAACTATTAATTATAAATATATATTGTATGGTTAATTGCTAAATATTCACTGCTGACACCTGGGAGTTTCATGTCACAGTTAATTAAAAAAAAATTAAGAGTTTGAGCACTATAGAGGAAGATAAAAAAGTATTTGATTAGATTTTTTTTAAACATCAACAAGACCAAAACACACTTGTAAGTTTGTGCAGCAGGATGTTTTCCCATCAATCGATGAGCAGCTACAACGGCAACAGCTTAGACAGTATTGTACCTGTATTAACAATCTAATAGATGCTATTAGATTGTTATCACGTGAGACACTGCAGTGGATGAGGAGATGTGCATTTGGCTGAAAACCCATCAGTGCTTTTAAAGAACCGGGACTGAATACATGAGTATGTGGAGTCATGTTGATCCTGTGTCTCACATACAAATGTTCATTACTCTTAGGCAGTGGGGTTTGAAAGTAGTAGGGATGGGTAAACTCAACATTACAGATGTAATAATCCCACGTTTCTGTCCACCTGATTCGACCTACAGTTTACAGGCACGACAGCAGCAACAGGAATTCTTGCTGTTCGCTTTAACTGAAAGACTCGGTGAGATAAGACATTTGGTCTGAAGAGGTTAACGAATTGATTGCTTTAATGAAACGTGAGTATAGCAGGGCATCGCCAAACTGTCTGATATATAACACCAAGAAGTTGTAAAATTGCTGTTTTGTACTCATGGCGGGTTTTTCAAACTTGTGTTCGTTAATTTTAAGCATTATGTTATCTAACCAGTACGTTTTAGGATGTAAATTTTATAAAAATGGAATAATATATTACATTACAACATTGTTTTTATACAAAATATTAGCTTTTCCCCAGGTTAGAAAAAAATAATCTCATCTGCGTCACACGAGACAGCAACTTTTCTCAGTTAAAACTGTAAGTGTTCGAACTTTGAACTTAAGTTGTCCATCTGTACAGACAAATAAACAATGAGCTGAAAGGTTCAAAGTCCTTAATCCAGATTTAAACAGACGTAAACACACACACACACACACGAACCAGATTCTACTGAGCACTTTAACAGTAATCTTTTATTAAATGCATATTATGACCAGCATAAGCGTTTAACAATTATTGCAGCATTTCATTCTGATTAATAGAAAATGCCTGCTTTAAGCAGTCAGCTCAGGCTGAGCTCTAATCTAAGTCATTAAGTACCGTTTGCAGACATATGGTCAGTCCCTCTGTATACAGCACTGAATGTAACAAGCTCAGCATAAAGCTTCAGAGAGATCGCAAACACTGTTTGAACTGAAGTCTGCTCGTTGAACCTGCATATATAAAAAATATACCTGATTAAAATAAGGCCAAGAAGCTTTGGGTAATAAGGCAGCAGTTTTTCTCCATAACTCCGGGAGCAACTTTGGTCGGAGAAATGTAAACTTCAGTTTAGACTATCTTCAAGTCCTTCATGGCAGACTCCAGAGACTGAAAAGACATTGACAGACATGTGAAATCACTGTGGTAGTCAATACCTGGCAATCCTGCATGTCTGTGTCTGTCTGTGTGTTACCTTGACATCCCAAATGCCCATTCCTCCATCCATACCAGTGGTGCAGAATTTGGTGCACTGGTTTCTTCCTCCTTCCAGCACAGAGATTTGGCTGAAATATTGTTTGAGACGTGAGAAAGCCAAGTAGTAACATATCATTTGTTTTAGGGTTTTCATAGCTATATTTAAAAAAAATATCACTTTAACCAAATCCCCTCTCATACCCAACCACACATCACCACTCGCTTTTTGGGGGTTTTAATTTTCATGGATACGAAGCATTTGTTTTCTCCTGACCTGATGCTGTTCTTGTGGAGAGTGTTCAGGTCCTTGTCGGTGTTCTGGGTCTCCGAGGCTCGACGGTCCAGGTTCTGAAAACGCTCCCTGGCGCTGATGCCCTTTTGGGCCGCCTGCTTAGGAACATCCAGTTTGCCACCAAATGTCAAGCTGCCTTTGGCACCGTCATACACAAACAGCACCGGGTAACAATCATGGCCCTAGAGGAAAAGACATACAAAAGGAGATATTACAATATCAGGTTGGAAATATGAGAGACTAGACTCTTGTTTGTTATTCTGGATGCTAGAATAGATACAGCCAGAAAGCGCTATTTATTCATTTATTTACAATATTTATATGGAGACACTGGGCCAGAAAAGTTTGGGATATAAAATTATAAAATTACTTTAAATTAAATTAAAGGAACTGTTGTGTGTGCTGAATAAATGAATACTCACAGCTGCTACCAAGCTGTTCTCAGTAATGAAGGTGACACACAGCAGAGGAAGTGTCTCCGAGCTGAGACTGGTCAACCTGTGGAAGTTGTAGCAAAAAGTCAGAGTGGAGCACACAAAGCAATGTAAACACACAACACGCCCAGCTACACTGCTCTGCCTTCACTTACGTGCCGTTCTTGCCGCCCTCGGACACACAAAGAGTTGAGTCATGGGAGGTCCAGGCCAGGCGGTTGCCAGAGTGCGAGAAGCACACGCTGTGCACCCAGCCGCCGCTTGCTCCTGAAGTCTGAGCTGCTGCTGGAGACCCTCCGGACTCAAAGAGCAACTCCCCAAAGGGCATCTTGCTACCCCAGGGAGTGGGCCCAGGCTTCTCCTCCACCTCCTTTATGTAGGCTGAAAACACTCTGTGAGAGTGAGGGTGGAGATATATTGTTATTTTGAAACCCACATGCCATATATCATGGACTGTATGAGGACTTTCCTTTTTTATATATCTAGGAGTAGCATCAGTGTTGGGCTGTACACGAAGTAATTTTAATAAAGCTGAAAGCTAAGCCTGTCTGTGACATACCTGCATTTGAAATCGCAGGATCCAGCAGCCAGAAGGGCGTTGTTGGGGTGCCAGTCCAAACTCAGGATTGTAGAGCGGATCGGCTTCTTAATGTGCTTACACACCCACCTGCAGATAACAAGAGATGGTTGCTAAACTCTCTCCAAGGGCGCTTCTTAGTATTCAAATAAAGCTTTCTGCATATATTAGTGAATTCGCTCACCAGTCGTTTTCCTGCTCAAAATAGCAGACGGAGATGAGACGAGAGCCGCTGCCAACAGCAAATTTGTTCTCTTTAGGTGACCATTTCACACAGCGAGCGGCACGGTTGATCCTGAGGATGACCAGGGTGGGCTTCCACGTTCCCTCTTTCAGGGTCCACACGTAGGCGTTACGGTCCGCTCCACAGGTAACTATGCGGTTACTTTCCGGAGCCCAATCAATACCTGTGAGATTTTTTTTTAAAAACTCTCAGGAACACATTTCCACTCACTTCTCTATATTACATCAAATAGGCAGAAAAGGAAGAAGAGGTATGCTATTATCAACGTCTCAAATGCATCCAAAATAAATAATTGACTAAAAATCTATAGAGTCTTTTTTCTTTATCTTCAAAGAGATAAAAGTAACTGTGCAGTGACTGGGATCTACTTTGATGTCTTTATACTTACTGGCAATCTACATAGCCAGCAGCTGATTAGAGTAGCTTAAGACAATGACAGGAAATTGTGAAACCAGTGAAGTCTCAGTAGAAGGAGCATACACTACAACAAAAGTATTGAGCCGCACCTTTCATATAACTCACTTACTTAGTTTGTGTTAAAGCTTAAAGTAATCCATTATTATGGGCATGGGCACTTTGATAGGGGCAGGTGTTAGCTGGTAGCTATGTGCTAGCTGTCACCTCTGCTAATCTAAGTCGCCCCTGGTGGAGTGTGAAGGTACTGCAGGTGGGCTGCAGTTACACCAGAAATTCACGTAAAAATTACTCACAAGTATGTACATTTATATATATTTATCTGCTCTTGTTTTGAAGTTTGTGTCCCAGTAGCAGGTGGGTCACACATTAGCCTAAATGCTTTCTATATGACTGGGTAGCATTAGCGATTTATAGACAACAGCCTGTGTTCTTTGTGTTTTTTGAATAAAATTTTCAAGGAAGTACATCACTTCCTCTTGTATTTTGATTAGACTAAAGATTAAAGATTGTGGTATTTCCTGGTTTTTAAGGAGGCCGCAGCACTCTTGACTTTGGGAATGGCTGATCTGATGCTTGACATTAAGCAATATGAGCATTAATAATCACATAGAGGTGGGGAAATGTTCCTACAGCTTGATTTATTTTGTACCACTGGATAAGGCAACCACAGATTTAGCAATACTGGAAAGCTGGATGGCCATTTCCTTGATATCGATTTAGGCAGATCCCAAAAAATGATGGAAACTTGTGCTCGATGTCACAGAAAAACCTAAAGTATTCTACAAAATCTTGTATTTTCACTTTCAGAATTGGTGAACTTGAGTAGTGGCTCTGAGGTTTAGGGGTTAATACGTTCGTCTTACATGCAAACCAAACTTCAGTTTGTCTCAAGCCAGTGCTGCTTCCAAGACCAAACAAACATGCGGATCCGACCCTTTGGGAAACAAGGCAATGTCAGAAAGTCCCTAACTAGTTTTAGTGTTGCTGTGTCTCACCTGTCACCTGCCCATTGTGTTCCTTTAGCTCATGGATTTTGGTCCACTTGGTCCCATCTTTCTTATAGATGTGGACCTCGTGGTTGTTGGGACACAGGGCAATCTCTGTGGCGGAAACAAAGAAGTTTGTGTTTCAAACCATATCAGCACAGATGGTCAACCGTACGAACACAATATTCATCATGGACAAAGTACAGCGTGACTGACACGAGAAGCTTTACAGCGGGCTGCTCAGTGGGGAGTAACACAGAAGAGCTGAGTGGGCACATGAGAAGAGAGAAAAAAAAACAAAAAAACACTGTATGTATGAGCCTGGAGGCAGCACACAGACACACAGCATCTTTAAATAGAAGGCGCACAAGACCTGCGATCTTTGTTTTTTGTAACGTTGTAGCAAAGGCTGCATGTTTTAGTCAGCAGATGAGTCAGTGAAGCAGTGTTTGTCCTAGAACAGCAGTGTGGCTTACTTCGGTGTGCATTTTTTTTTTTTCACAGAATGACTAAACTGTTCATTTTGCAAACCTGAGTGAAACTCGAACAGCCTGGTTAAAGCGTCTCTTACATCCGCTTTGCCCAGAAACCAAAGTACTGATGAAAAACATCCATATAAGGTCTGGTTTCCTCCAGCTAACGGAGAGTAAGAACCACTCAGAGAGGCCTACAGACGCCGCCGCCACTGTTACAGGAAACAGGAAATACCTTCTCCCACCTGGGAGCCAGTCGCAAACCTTGGGCTATTACACCATCTGTCACAGACTGTAGTCAGAGCAATATGCACCCATGATGTTGTGCTCAGCTCAAAGATGAGACCACTGGAAGTCACTGAAGAGCAAAAGAGTGACCAATCAGAGAGGGCGGGCAGACTTACGGGATCGATCTTTGTTCCAGGCATGGCAGCTAATTGGTTCCAGCAGGAAGCTGTGGTACGCCATGACCAATCAGATGTTAGAAGGAGATCAGGAAGTAGTAGGAGAGGAACCAGAGGCTGGTGGGCTGTCAAGTCTTTAAAAAAAAAAACAGAAGTTGCATTTCATGTTGAAAGCAGGAAGTGTTGAAGTACACGAAGAAATGTAAAAGTCTTTTTATTGAATGAAACCGTGAAATGATCCAAAGTGTTTGATACGTAATGAACTGACTTAAACTCCGTTTGTGGGTGAAACACGCTAAACTTATCTCACTCAGAGCGTGTTAATGAAATCCAGACTTTCAGAGGAATGACAGAAACTATGCAGGTCCAAGGTAACGGACATCCCCACAAAAAAAGAGAAAAAGACACTCAACCATTGGAGGAAGAAACCAGGGGGAAAAAAATCAAATTTCTTTCATTTCTATCAGATACTTTACAAACACTAAAACACAAATGTGTGGGAAGCACGATTGCCTGTAGCACGCTTTGGATATTTCTTTGCAGAAAATGCATTATACTCAAATATGTGTGTGTGGGTGGGTGGGTGTGTGAGTGAGTGCCTAAGCACACTCAGTCAACTGTTAAATATTTTCTAGGCTACTTACCCCCGAGGGCAGGACAGAGATGAATGGGTGAGCTGAAGAGATGGGAGAGAGTTTTAAAAAAAAGAGCAGAGAAAGCAGAGGAAAGTAGCGGATCAAATAAAGTGGAGGGTGTTCAGCTCGCGGACTCTGGCCAGTCAACGCGAACGCCAACGACAGAGTGAGTGCAGGAAGAGAGAGAAGCTGAACTGAAGAGAGAGAGGGGAGGAGAGGTCAGAGGGGGAAGTGGAGGAGGGTACAGTGAAGCTCAGAGAGGGGAGACAGGCAGGAAGTTTCTGCAGGTTTTTCAGTTCTGAGGGTGGAAATAAAGAAATCATGGGCGTGGCGTGAGAAATGTGAGAGAAGGGGGACCAAAACTGCACTTTTTCTTTAATTGAACTTTAACATTATTAAACAGGAACAGAAAAAAAGTGTTAAAAGTAGTAAAAGAGGGAGGGGCATAAACACAATACAATGTTATGCACAAAGGAGGAGGCTGAATCTGAGGGGGGGGAAGCAAAAAAAAAAAAAAGGAAAAGAAAAGCATGAAAGACACGGAAAAGAAGGGGGAGGGGCGTACGGGGCTGTCTGCATAAAGAAAAAGGAGGAAGTGAAAGAAGAGGGAGGAATCTGCAGGGAGGAGAGGGTGGCATCAGGAGGAGAAAGGGGTTGGCTCTACACTGGATTTGCTATTATTTGTCTACCAGTTACATTATGTGTCCTGTTCTTCATTTATCTTCTTGTTATGATTGCACGCCAACTAGTTTTACCCCGTTGCATCACTGCAGTGCAACCTCAAACATTTAGCTATGAAAACAAGTTAATTTGCTTTTTATTGCACAATCACTTGCAAACAGTGTGTGTGGAAACCACTGGAGCTCTTGTTGTTGCGTTTATAGATCTGAAATCTTTTTTTACTGTAAGTCCAGTCAATGTTTCTTTGAACACTGACTGGACTACTTCGTCTATTCATTAGACTTTAACTGCTATGTCAAAGCGTTTCTTTCAAGCTTTTAAAGAAGCACGTTGCCTTAATCACTTTTTTCTTGGCAGCAGCAGATTTTCCTTACTCCTCATAATTTCCATTTGGGATTAAAAGGAAAAGCATAAAACTGGCAGTCAGTGAGAGCCTTGAAGCTAAGGTTAAGACTGAGTTTCATGCCGTGCTGCTTACTTGTTTTATACGGGTGAGCTGCTCTGTTCACAGGTACTTTTGTTTCCAATTTGGAGTTAATGAACTTCAAATGGGCCTAAATCTCACACACACTCATAAGACACTTCATTTAATTTCCCAACCTTTATTGGGAGACAGTGTATAATTTTTCTTTTTAATTTTGGGACTTTAATGACTTCAAATACTGCCAAAATACTGTCAACTCGTTTAACAAATTGCTTGTACAATTACAGTTAGACTGATTATGTGTGAGTATGTGTGGAAAGTAAAAAGGATATTTTAAAGATCCACAGTGGTAGTAGTTTCACCTAACGAGTGAAACACCCATTAACATGATCTTGGAAGGAGACACAAATTCCTTGTTAACACCAAGCACATCATATTTGGCACAGACCTCTATATTATCAGTGTGACTCACATGATAATATAGAGAATGGTTTACAATTTAAATTGTCAGAAGGCTCAAATATGTCCATTTTCTGGAAATTATTTCATGGTTGAGACTTTCAAGGGTTTCAAAAAAACAAAACGTGTTGACCCCTTGCGAATGAGGAAGCAGGTGAAGCCTTCTTTAACCTCCTAAGACCTGAACTCTTTCATGGCATGCATTTTTAATTTCTCTTTGCTATTTGGACTGATTGGGACCTGATAAATGTAAAAACAAAGAATTATCTTTTTACCTGATTTTACTCTAGAAGGTCCTGATATCCACATGTGACGACATTAGTTTTAAATTTCAATAGAAGAGTGGGAGTATAATGTCCTCGTAAGCAATGTTCCCTCTAAGCTGCGCGCGTGCGCAATTGCGCACTGCTGGCACGGTCTCTGCGCAGAAAAATCTGCGTTGCGCACAAAAAAAAATCTAGCCTGAATTGAAATTAAAATTAAAACTTTAACAATTCTGTTTTGCAGTGTTAGTCAGTGAGTGACTGGCTGCTCCAGTATGGGATTAGAACGATGCCACCTTATCCCATAGTCCAGCCAATAATGCGATTCACATTCGTACATACGCAGCTAATCAACGTCGTTGACAGGCTATGACAGCGTCCATCGCCGACACCGGTGTTTTAGCTTGCAAAGCGGCGTGGCTGACGTGGAGTGAAGCCACGTTAATGACAACGTGTACAACCATTGGAGATGTGAGCAGGACAGAAAAGTGTGGACTTTATACCAGTTTTTAAATTGTGTTGATAGGCCACGAAAACCAGAGTTATGATAAAAAATATTTGCAATGTTTGGTTCTTTCCTGAATACTATGGTTGTTTATATTTACTGCGGGAAGAAACGGTAAAAACGGCGTTTTAGAAGGAAAACGCTGGAAAGCACTCTCCACCTGTGAGCAAAAACAATACCAAACCCCCCACCCTTTCCTATTGGTGGAAAAATGTACCATGTCGACCAATCAGAACATGGCATTTGTTGTTTAGGGAGGGGGGGAAGTTTCAGGAGTGACAAAAAATTTTTTTTTTAGGAGTGACGGTGGTGTTTTGAGATGTGAGAGATTTGCCACGTTTAGCGCAAATCTTGTGTCGTTAGTGTGTCGTGTAGTCAATAGTTTGTTGTGTGTGTCAGAACAATGAGGCGACTGCTGAATGTTACAGCTGTTACAGCAGTGATACATCTCCTGTTGTCAGGCCTGCAGGTATCAGGCTGTTGTTCTCCTTTATCTCATAGTGGACAGAAATTGTTTTTTGGAGTGGCACAAATAATTTGTGTGGCATCAGATTTGATGCAGAACAGCTGATTGTTCTGTAAATAGTTTGAAATGTTTATTTAAAAAAACGCCTTGGCTGCATTTTTAGGTAAACTGCTGCAAAAAACGTTGTTTGCAAGACTCAGTTACTTTTTTGAAGAACTATATAATTAATTGCCCAACATTGGTCATTATATACTGTATTTTGCAGAGAGAGAGTTACAGGACTCTCTCCCAGACCACAGATTCACAATATAAGTTATATATATATAAAAATAAATAAAAGTTGTGTTTTCAAAATTGGAGCTCAAGTTATTTTTACTTCCAATAGTGTTAACATACACAGGTCATGAACAAGATTTTTTTTTTTTAATTTTCATTGTAAGTGGGCTAAAGCAGTTAATTAAAAGTAGTCTAACATAAATGCTGTAATTTGATTATTTTAATAAACCATGTAACTTGGATGGATTCGATGCTGGCGTGACCATAGTGCACACGTCTGCTGTCGCTCACAGTGGTCCAAGGGAGTTTGCTCAGACACGTGAAAAATTAGAGGGAACATTACTCGTAAGTGGATATCAGGCCCTTGTAGAGCAATATTTAGCATGTCCACATATGTGGACATCAGGTCCTTTGAGGTTAAAGATATTTCTTTGATTTTTTTGAAATCTTAGAAGCATTATTTACTTTTGCACCAGCTTCGGGAAGCTGTAGGTTTTGATTTCTATCTCATCTGGTCATCTTGAAGTGCCAACAAAGACAATGAAAAAGATGACCCACGATAACACCCACTATTCAGTGCGTTCACATCCCAGAATGTCAGCGGCGTACTACGTCATCCCACTCATGATTTTTCACAATTTGCAGCTCACTGTAACAGGTAAAGTATGGGGGAAGAAAGCGATAAATTTGATTGTATTGTTGCACTGAATACAATGAGAATTAAAAATCCACAGAGGATTCAAGGAGTCTTGAAAACAGTCATATCCAGGACAACTCAATCCTGTTTCACTAAAATACTAGGATGAGAAGTTGATTCCTGTGAAACTGGTGAAAGGACCAAATATAAACCTTCAGCACAGTTTAAGTAAAGACCCAATAGGCGATCGATGCGTACACCTTTCAGTAAAACCTGAATACTCTAGGAGTAGCAATCTTAGTGAACTGTGGAGGGATGCCCAACTTGTTCGTCTGTCCTTCGGCTAAATGAGCTAAAAATCATTGCGGTGACGCCGACACAGAAAGAAGATATAACCTTGTTTACTAAAAATCCTCACAGAGAAACAATGTTCCAGAATTTTTCAGAAACTCCAAGATTTGCATTTAGCTGGGCCTTCACTAACCTATGACAAGCAGAAATATGGATTACATATTGTAATTTGACACACAAACTACCATCTGTCCACATACACAAAGGAAGAGCACAGTCATTTGAGTTGAGTACTGTAAATGTATTTCATCTTTATTTCATGTCTACTCATGGTCAGTTACATAGAAATCCTCCATCTTGTGTGGTTTTAGTGTAGGAGCTACAGAGCCTAGTGTTGGCCAGCTGTCACTCCACACAGAGTTCAGACAGCTGCTTTCTCTCTCCACCATCAGATTCTGTACAACTCCCAAAAGCCAACACGCAACATGTACTCAGAATATCAGTAACCCCGGGTCCTAGTGAAAGCAAATTCGCCCGCTGAAGAATACGAACTATCCTCCAGTAAAACGTCTACTTTCGGTCTACTAAATGTTGTTATTCCGAGAGCATGTTAAGGTTAGCCTGAGGTGGAATACAGTCTGATTTTGGATAAAATGCACCTTTTAGTGTTCAACTTTTGGTACAGGAGGTTAGAGAACATAAAAACACACATTTCACGTCACGTCTAATACGTGTCAGAGGACCTTCCCACTTTGACACCTGGTTAACCTTCGTTTAAAAACAAACAAAATGGGGGGAAAAAAAAAAATCAACAGTGAAGTCACACGTCAGCTCAGCGTGTGTAGTGAGTGTATGTGTGTGAGTGAGTTTAAGCACACACTCACAAGAGTGTGTTATGGTCTGATCAGTGCTTCAGCAGACACTCGATAAAGTATGTATGTTACTGGCTGCGTGGCAGGAGTGGAGGGAGGGCCGGGGTGAGACGGAAAAGGGGCAAGAGGGGTGAGGGCAGGGGAGGAAAAGGGGGAGAAGTGAGGCCGCAGCGTCTCTCCGTTCATTCAAAAGGTTTCTTCACATAATGCGGAGACCCTGGATAGAAGCTTCTAGACTCTGAGGAGGAAAACACATGACAGAGAGTTAGTGATGGAAGACTCAGAAAAAGTTAACTCACAAAAAACACTGTTTCTGTGCATTTTTACCTTGAAGTCCCA